GGCCCACTATTACAAGGACTATGATATACTGCTCTTGGCAAGGGAAACATTTAGCATGACACATGTATCAGGCCCCTAGTGAAGAAAGGTAATTGGACCAAAATCGTCGGATCTGCAGAGCGTTAAGGAACGTGAGGATGCTCAATCAAGCTCAAGCTTATCCTGCCCAAGTCTCGATTGCTGGTGCGCTGCCACGAGATTCTCTCGGCCGTTCTCGTTTTCGGTTTGGGTGACCAGTCTCTCCTGTCTGCGCCGTCCGGGCTCGAGGAGATTCCTCTTCTCCCTTTCATGTCATATACGCGCAGGCTAAACGCAAATACAAAACAGCACGCTACCTACGATAAGCACCTGACCATCGGATTCACGGATTCTCAAATTTCTTAACTTCAGTCTCTGCGTCTTCCTGTTCTTGATATTTCCATATGGATCCCGAAGTTCGAGCTGGCTAGTGCCGCATGGCACTGGCAGGCAGGCGGCAGGAAATGTCGTCAGCTTACCCCCCTCTGCATCCAAGTATGAATAAACGAAATGGTCACCCAGCCGCGTCTCCTGTGCTGATCCTTTCAAAGAAATAATTGTTCATCTCGTAGCTGTTTGATATTTTGCGGCGGGGAGAAAGGAGCGAGAAGTGTATGCTGTTAGGTGATCAACCCTCTGTGCCGGTAGAGCGAAGCATTCGCCAAGGCAGATCAGAAGGTTTGCTATCGCAGGATCTTGGACTTCGAGAGCTGACGGCGGGGTAGTTATATTGGTGCCAAAGCCCCTGATATCTCACATGGCTTGCATGTAAGCTGAGGCACAACATTCGACCTACATCCTATCATGGGTGGATGAGTATGCTACGTCAAACTGAAAGCCAATGCTAACTGCTGGTATGGGCTAATCTGCTCTTCATCCGGCGTATGATATCTTGGCTCTTTGAAGACCGTTGGCTCCGCGTTGCAATGCAAAGTACTTCGCTCTACGGCGAGAATGGATGGTCACGTATAAAGCTAGCGCGGGAACACACCTGCGGAGTCTTAGCTCTTTCTATGGCATCTGAGTTAATGGCTGGCAGTCGCTCATTCTCGCTTTCATAAACTGGAACATGCAAGTTTGCCATCTCTCCTCAATTTCTTACATCGAGTAGCCCAGAACAAGTTCTTGACTTGGAAGCTAGCTGCTAGCCCCAAGTTTCGAAAGATATAAAGATTATCTCTTCGCCCCTCTGCCCCTTTTGGAAGATAGTAGCCTCACTAATTCTTCATCACTATTGAGCACCCTGTTTCAGGGACAGAGATGGCAGATATCCATGATCTTCCTGTATTGTGCTCTCTCGAAGACTTCCTCGGGCATGAATATGACTTCATTATCGTCGGAGGTGGAACTGCAGGTCTCACCGTTGCCGCGAGATTGACCGAGAATCCCCATTTTCAGGTCGGCGTCATCGAAGCTGGTGCCGCGCATGTCAACGATCCTATGATCATGACACCAGCTCTCTATCCTAAGATTATCGGTACGCCTGACTATGACTGGATACATATGAGTGTGCCCCAGGCAAGCCCTGAACCCCTTTCGTCATATTTGGTCGCAACTGACTTGCGTGGAGACATCGGCAAATAACGTCAGCTTTCAACAGCCTCGAGGCAAGGGACTAGGAGGCTCAAGTGCAATCAACTACCAGATGTATGTGCGAGGCCATGCGTTGGACTACGACGATGTGAGTGCCTTTACCTTACAAATCTAAACCTCCAATGTTGACACGTACGCACAGTGGGCGAGACTGGGAAACGAGGGTTGGTCCTTCACGGACCTCCTCCCCTATTTCAGAAAGCATGAGCACTTCGATGACCCAATCAACTATAGTAACAAACCAAACATCCCGCTGGAAACCACCTATGATGCAGAGTTCCACGGCCACGACGGTCCCATCCACACCAGCTTCAGCACATGGCGTCTGCCCCAAGAGCGAGAGTGGATTGCAGCATCCAGCACGCTGGGTGACAGGATGGGAAGCCCCATCAACGCCTGGAACGGGGACCATCTAGGTACCTATCATTCACTAAGTACTATCGACAGGAGCGGCGGCCAGGCTGACGGCACGAGGAGCTATGCTGTTACTGGATACCTGTTGCCGAATGCTCAGAGACCCAACCTGCATGTTTTGACCGAAGCCTTGGTGACGAAACTGGTTGTCAGCGAGACTGGGGAGGTTTCTGGAGTCGTGTTTATTCATGAGGGCAGGGCTCATCAGATAAACGTGAAGAAGGAAGTGATACTCAGTGCAGGAGTCGTAAGTATACACTTTCCATTTTCTATCACTTCGTGCGCTTGTTGGTCAGACGCTGTCTGCTTATCGATTCGTCTGCTACCGAGGATTGTGGATACCTCGGCTCCACATCAAACAAACAAGTCGCTAAAATCACGCAACAGATCAAATCCCCACAGATTCTCGAACTCTCGGGAATCGGTAATCCTGATATTCTTTCCCAAGCTGGTGTAAAATGCGTTGTCGATAATCCTCGCGTTGGAGAGAACTTCCACGACCATCCAACCACCGGCTTCGGCTATGAACTTGTCGACGGTGAGGAATCGCTTGACGCATTCCAAGACCCCTCTGTAATCGAAGCTGCCATGGCAGAGTATATGGCTACCAAAGGCGGACCGCTGTCTAGCGGAGGTGCGGCAATGGGATTCGTAAGCCAAAAATCCTAGACTGCCATCAACCCCCGTGGCGATGTTCTGACCCTGGTGTCACAACAACAGATCTCCTACGCCGACGTCGCAACACCCAACGAGATCTCATGCACCCAGCGACTCATCCTCTCATCCTCACACAAAGGCCACAGCCCCGCCGCCAAAGCCCTCCTCGCAGAGAGCATCGCCGACCCCTCCTACGGCAGCATCTTCCTCGGGCTGCTCCCCGCAAGCGTCAACGTCCGTGAAGCCTGGAACCAGCAGAAGCTCCTTTCTCCGCCCCCAGACATGGTCGGCAAGCACGGCGTCTGCCTCGTCGCTGCGCTCTCGCGTCCGGCGTCCGTGGGAAGCATCCACATCACGTCTTCCGACCCAACGCTCGATCCCGCGATCGATCCGGCGTATCTCACGCATCCAGCGGACGTGGCGGTGTTGAAGGCAGGGCTGGCGATGGTGGATAAGATGGTCCGCACGAGCCCGTTCCGGGAGAAGATCAAGAGGAGGTATCACCCAGAGGAGGCGCTGGATGTCAGGGATGCGAAGCAGGTGGAAGAGTATTTGAGGGGGAACATAGCGACGCAGTATCATCCGCTGGGATCGGTCAGTATGGGACAGCCGGGGGTTGGAGCGTGCGATGATCGCTTGAAGGTGTATGGGACGAGAGGGTTGAGGATTGTAGATGCTAGCGTGATCCCCTTGCACGTGAGCGGGAATATACAAGCGACTGTTTACGCGCTCGCTGAGAAGGGGGCGGATCTGATCAAGGAGGACTGGAGCTTGTGATGTTGATCTTGCACGGGATCTTAATCTTCGTTGGGGAGTGATCGGTTGCATCCTCTTTATTCTACTTAGGTAAAAACAATATCGTCCTCTTTATCATCTCATGGTCTACCGACGGCCGATCGCTACAGACCTTTCTTCAAATGTAACTGTAATGTCGCCGTAGAAATCATGACGATTCATACCTCAACACAGTTTTCAATACTTCTCCTAGTACACTTCTGAATTTCGTAGATTATAGAAAGAGAGCCCTGAAGATGCGTTCAAGTCACCACCATACAAATCGGATGTCTGACACCCCCTCCGAAAGAGGGAAAGCGTGCGAGGGAGGAACCTTCAGCGCCATTCGTCGTCAACCTTTCCGTCTCTGGAACAGAGAGTGCGAGGCAGAAATTTACACCGTCATGAGTATATGGGCTCTGATTCCGATTTTCTACCTACATCCAGGCCGAGGTATCCAGAGCGTATCTTGAATATACCCTGATGAGTTGAAAGGGGGAAAAACAAATAGAGCTGACCCCGCCTTTGCCAATTCCATTCCATACCCGTCATTATCATAATGCATCTCAAGTATCATCTTCCGCCCGAGGAGATTGATAATCTTGTAAGATTATGATCTCGGGAGCTTCATGGAACGAAATTACAGTTTCATCTCGACGTCCTTCTTCGTAGTCTTGATTAGACCGGCCTCCTGGTTGGGCGTCGTTAGTTTAGCTCTAGCGTGCACGGTGAGAGCTTAAGAGAAACAAAATCAGAATTAAAAATTTTACTGACCTCTGCCTGGCGGATCACCAGGACGGAATCCCGAGTCCGATCTAGATCCCGATCCTTATCTCCGTCATCGCCTTCGTCCATGGCATCCTCGTTAGCCTGTTGTGACGCTGACGGTCGGGGTTTGGCGAAAGTCGACTCTGGGTTGGTTGTTGCAGGCGCAGGGCGGGGGAGAGCGGACTGCTTGTGAGCACGACCGGCCGTATTCTCGTCCAGCATTGCAATCACCCAAGTGCGCAGCTCGGCCATGCGATCACTGGTATCACCATCAGCATCATCGTCATCATCATCGAGGATTGCTCTGAAGATTCATCATCAGTCGGGTATACTTTCGAGTTCTTCGTGGAGGAGGACGACTCACAAAGGCTCCAGGCCGGGGTGCTTGGTCGACTTTCCCAACCAGTACTGGAAGATCGGCTTCTCGCGGCGCTGGACATAGGTTAGAAAATGCACCACAGGGTATTGTTGTTGTTGTTGCTCTTGCAGAGGCACGAACCAAATCTAAGGAGTGGCTCAGACACTCCAGATCACCAAGTAGCTCATCGCCCTCGCGCTGTTCGACATCCTCATCCATGGTCTTGTAACCCTGGACCACCGTCTTACACCACGCTGCCTCAGACAGGGTCCGACCGATGACGAGGCCAGCTGACTGGTTCGCCAAATCAAGATCCCGACAGAACTTCTCGAAGCCCAGGACGCTTCTGAACCACGGCAAGTATTTCTTGCCATAATCCGGGAGCTTGATATAGCTGGTATCGGTATTCAGGAGGCGCTTGATTGTACCAACCGAGACGAGTGGCTTCGAAGCTAGTCTAGAGGGGCCATCGATCTTGACGAAGGTGGTTGACCAATCCATCGATTGGATTTGAGGAGTGGGCAGTTCCTTACCGGCTCCGAAGGGGATCTCATCGATGGAGCCAAGGAGGACGACCTTTTGACCGAACTGCTTTTGAGCCCCAAATGCCGTATCCCTGTTTATTCACCAGTCAGCAAGTTTATGTGCCTAGAATGCGTGGGCACACTTTCGCATACCAGTTGTAGCTGTACGGAGAAGTATATAGACCATGGCTGGCTTGGATGTCAGTCTTGTCGATGCCGTCAGCGTACAGAACCCATAGGCGACGCTCTTCATCGAGCATGACGATCCAGCGGGACTGCTGAACGCGATCGACAAGCTGATGCGGTCCGGCGATTCGACCAAGAACAACGGCGCGCCAGGTAGTAGGGGACGTCGTGTCATCAGAACTTGTGAATGTAAGATTGACGAGGGGAGAGCCACGGATGCATCCACTTGTAGTAGCCTTACTGTTGATGGAGTTGGGTCCAAGGCGCTGGAAGGCGATGGAGTAGTCGATGATTCCATGCTTTCCGATCGCAATACCGAGCGGAAGATTGACCGGGCCAGAAGGGTTTGGTTTATGGCAGAGAGCCTGGGCAACGAAGTCATCCACCGCGGCGGCCGTAGTTTCCTTGAAGTTGAAGTCTTTGACGACGCGAATGATGTTGCCGGCCGATCGCTCGTAGACCAGCTTTGGACCGCGGTGAGATTGGATAGGAAGGAAGAACCGCTCGTCTCGAGTGTAAGGATTGAAGGGGGCATGGCGGGCTGGTAAGTGGAGCTTGACACGGTTGTTAGGACCACTGTCGCTGGTATTGCGAAGTGGTGCCATCTTTTCTTGCCTTGTATGTGAAATCGGATGTCAAACCTATTCGAAGTGGTGGTAGAGTCTAAGTATCGAGACTGGAAAGTTGTCTGTCGAGCAATATCGAGGGAGGGGCTGCTGGCTCGGAACAGCTCCAAATATCCACGCGTCCGCGCTAGTGTAGCGCGTCACGTATATTCACTCTCATGCGGGTTACTCCAGCAGTTCATAAACGAGGTTGAGTCCTTGTGCCTCACAATTACTTTCCTGGCTTGCGCAACATGCTTTTCCCAACCCCATTCACTGTCAAGGGCCTTGGCAACGTGTACACTACGATTTGTGTAATGAACACTTCTTCTGTGCTAACATTAGGAGAAATGATTTACAGAAATAGCGGCCGTCGAAATGAACAGATGATATTCATAGTAAGATGATTGGAAGAAGCATCTTGGTGCTACACAAGACTAATCCAAAAGCCAAAGAGAGTGAACCTGTAATGCAACTTCTTGTGTAGTACTGTAAATCAACAAATGTACAATTGAAGCAGAGTATAGGATACGATTGAGAGCAAAAGCAACATTTGAAAACTGGTAAGCGAAAAATCCGAGAGCCAAAATCTTAATGATAGACCTCGATTCATGAATTGCTCGCTGGTAGTGACCGATCACTAGGGACGTACGTCCACTTAGATCGTCCTCCGGCCTTGATAAGATAAGAGCATCCATCAATCGGGAAAAAACAGCGATGTACAGATCTGCAGAGTAAAAGCATATTAGTTCAAAAGTAGTCTATTCTGTAACCAATATTGGTCACAGTATCGTTCGTGCTGTGAATAGCGGGTTGGCCGAGGTTGAGTGAGGTTGAAATAGCCGAGCCCTCAGAGTTGATATTTGCTGCTAATGTTGACCGTCCAAAATACAAGCGCCAGGGAGCCAGTTCCAATCGGGGATCAGAAATGAATGTTCCATTTCAATGTTAAGTAGTGACACTATATACAATCGAGACTTGGCCGCCAGTCCAAGAATCTTACCAGTCTTAGAAACGTAGAATTTTTTAAGCAGGACACCGGACCAGACACCAGCAAGTCTTCCTTTAGCTTGTGGCGCTTCATGGTTTCTCGCAGTAGACAGAAGAGATCGCATCGTTGGCAAATTCATAAGCCTTGTTCTTCGACAAGTCCACGCGTCCTGTCGCAGAGAAGAATCCACTAGTCGATTTGCAGTATTCATCGCTATTTTCATCAGCTGTCTGGGTTGAGTTGGATGTCAATGAGTGGCTTACACATAGAACATGCATGTTGGACCCTTAGTATCGAGGGAGGTGGCAGAGTTGTCGTGATAATGACCACCAAATGTGGCTTCAACTTCGTAAGCTTCAACTCTATAGATAGGAAGGAGGAATCTTACAACAAATGCCGTAGGTGAAGTTGATGTCTCCGCAATCTACGAAGTCGGCACCGCGGCAAAACTGCACAGATCCAACAGTTGGTGCAGCTTCGGCAGGTGCTGCGACGGCAGTAGCTGCAAGCGCAAGGACGGCGGCGAAGACGCTGTTGAACATCATCTTGATAGATAGATTTACGGAGTGTTTGTAGAGAAAGTTAGATAGAAGTTAAGAGATGGAAGTTAATAGAAGAGGGCCGATGCTTGCGGGAGAATGTAACGGATGTTTGATGTTGGGTCAGATGGGAGGATTGTGGAAAGCTATAAGTAATTTTCTAGAAGCCTACCTATAATTATACCTATACCTACAGGCACTATCAGCCTTGACCCGATTATCCGCTTTGTCGCAAGTAGATTTGGATATCGAAGCAGAAACGACTTCGTATGTTCTCCTATTAATCGTATCCAGAGCCAAGGTGGCTTGCGGAGGTGAGGACTACCGTATTCCCGCCTTTGCTAATTACAACTATAAGAGCCGGCCAGGGTGGTTTTTGGTGGTGCAACGCTCTGCCGTCTCTTCTTCGGTAAAGAACCGGGATCCCGGCGGTGATACTACCGCTATCCACTGTGGAGCCTTCACATCTCCGTACGGAGTTCCTCGTGGGCCGCATGTCCCGGTGAAACAAGTACTGTAACTACTGGACAAGGCTTTTTTGCTTGGGAGACGAAGTTTCCTCAGGTAACCAAGAGGTACTGCAGGTAGACAAGCGAGAAGAAGGCTGACTCAGCGAGCAGAATCCAGCGTTGTGCCGGTAGTACGGAAGCGATCCGGATACATAGTTGTAGTTGTAGTTGTAGTTGTAGTTGTACGTTGTAGTTGTACGTTGTAGTTGTATGTTGTAGTTGTACGTTGTAGTTGCATGTTGTTGTAGTTGTTCTCTCCCCCATCAATACATAAAGCCCTGCCAACGCCATTGCACCGACTACGTAGTACGTACCAAGTACGTAGTAGTAGTAGTACTACGCAGATTTATTCTAATCTTAAATTCCAACGTTCCGGACGAAGTACTGTAAGATTCTAATATTAGAATCAGGCTTCCTAGGGGCTTTGGCCACGGGGGTGTTTGGCTGTCGGGCTGTCCCCGTTAAGCTGTGACGCTCCCCACCCTTGGCTGTTGGCAAGGCTGTCGTCGACTTTGGACTCGGTACTCTCTGTACTCGGTCGGCGCGGAGTACCGGTACTCATGGGGAGGTCACGTGGCTGGACATCGCCCAGTCCGGGAAATCCAAGTTGGCGGCTCAAATGACCACGCACGTGACCACCGACCTGGGCATCATGGTAGGACGCTGCTGGACCACTCCCACGACTACACCGCGTGCAAGCTGGTCCTGGTCCGCATTACACTCATTTACACCTCAACTCCCGTCCGCAAACTGGTTCGCATTACACTCATCGACAACTCAGATCCTATAACTCCGTGTAATCACTTTCTCCAAGGCCCCAGATGCCACATGGCGGAAACAATCCACCAGCTCCCAGAATGGGAAACCCCGCGCCCCCCTAAGCAAAAAGGCCCACTCAGCAAATTGATGGCCCAGTCGCCGCTACTGGCACGCAAGCAGGAAGCAGAAGAAGGAAAAGAAGCAGCATCGGCCGGAGAAGACTCGACGGCCGTTATGCGCACGTTCTCCGATCGGTTCGTGCCGCACCGGGCCGCGTGTAGCCTTAGACCCAGGAGCCGCAAGAGCATGCTGTATAGCCTCGGGGCGCTCCTCCTCCTCCTCGCCCTCGCCCTGGGCCTCGGACTCGGGATCGGCCTTCCGCAGAAGTCGTTAGTTACTCTCGATACCTTTCATCCCGGAGTCCTCCGTTGAGAGACTCGTGCATCTCTCCTCTCCGGCTCCAGGCACACGGGCTCGGTTGGCCGTCTCTTAGCCATATTTTTTTTTCCCCTTTTCTCCTTTCTCTTCTTTCCGTTACCCGCCGCTCTCTTTTTTTTCCTCTGTTGCGTGCGCGTCTTCGTCGTCGCACACGACCATTTTCCTATCCGTTCGCAAGAAAGAACCGACCTAATCCTAATCATCCTCCTCCTCTCCCCAGAAACAAGGCCGAGAACCTGCCGCTGCCGACAAGCAACGGCACATTCAATGGCGACTTGACGTACTATGATCCCGGACTCGGCGCCTGCGGCCTCGAACACGCTGCGTCGGACTCGATCTGCGCGGTGTCGCATTCGGTATGGGACGCGGTGATGACGAGTTCGAACCCGAATGATAACCCGCTGTGTGGGCGGAAGATCCGAGTAACGCGATATAATGAGGCGGTTCGGGCCAACCGGAGTGTAGATGTGACGGTGGTGGATAAGTGTATGGGATGCAAGCCCACAGATCTGGATCTAAGCATCAAGATGTTCACGGCCCTGGCCGATGAGAGTCTGGGAAGAGTGGTAGGGACCTGGGCCTGGTTGAACTGACGAGCAGGGTGTGCGTGCATACGCCTTCTACGCATTGTGAATGACAAGTGTACATACGGAGAGGGCAGTGGTGCGTTGACTCACCCAGTGGGCTCTGGGTTGGAGCTCCAATGCACTTCAGCCGCTGCAGTACTGAAATATGGGGTTACGGATGCAAGGCGCTGGGGAAACTTTGTACATTCATTCATTCATTCGGCGACAGTTGTTTCCTAGATACCCAGGAGAAAAAGGCTTCCACCACGTGTTACACGAGAAATCATCCCCGTTGTCCTCCAAGAAGCTATGTCTACTTTTCGTGGACAATCAATACCTGCTGGCTGCTAATTTACTCATCTCGGCATGACAACAACGTGTCTCGGGCTCGACCGAGCCGAGGGCTGTAGTGGGCTTCCGATGGATCAGTGAGCCTCAAAAGTCTTCTGCTTCTAATGATGTACGACTACCAAAACACATACTCCGTAGAGTCAAGCGGACTCATGCGATCTCTCCTCGACTCACCCCAAAGTCCAACTTGACCGACGAATCAATTTCCTTAGCCCACTTTATTCTATTCCTAAATTACCCAGTGCCCCAGCTCTTGTGATCAAGAGCCTGTACAAAATCGACCTACTCCAGAGATCATCCGTTTCCGAACCCTTGACTCAAGGAAGAAGTGTGGTTGATTCCCCGAGCCGGATCCCTCCCCACCCAACAGCAGAAAGAACATTCAACCCTCTATACCCGCTTCCCCACCACCGGCCACGACTCACACCTCCGAGCCAGCGTCGACGCCTTCTTCTTCTCTTCCCTTTCCGGCGCGCAGGAATATTCTGGCACAGGGCTTCCGCCAGGACCGCCAGGACCGCCAGGAGGATATCGTCGAACACGTAATCGTGTCTCGGGTCCTGCGTCCCCGGCCGCCACCGTGCCAGCACCAAGAAGCGAGACTGGATATACGTCGTGTCGCTCAGGAGCTGGTAGACTGTTTTGCGCTGGTGACGCTCCTTGCGGTAGTAGCGATCTTGGTACTGAGCGGAGCGGAGCGGAGCGGAGATGCGTGCATGCATGCATGCCGGCCTACGGAGGACCGGACCGGGCCGAGCCGAGCCTACGTTAGTACGTACCATACCTCGATGCGACGACGTGGGGGGACGGGCGACTTTTAAGCATTGCGAGCACTACGCCGTGATCTCGAGGAGGTAGACGCCGCGCTGGTACATGCCATACGTAGTGGTCCTGTTGAAGTCGCCGGGTCGCGATGGCTCACCTGCAGCCATGTCAAATCCCGGGAGATGGAGAGGCTGAAAGGCGTCGCGTGGAGATGCATGGGTCGGAAGGGTCACAGTGGGTGCGTAGACCGCGTTCGAGCAGATGCGCACTCGCTCTCGAGAAGTGCGGCGCGAGATTCGCGGCTCGGATACCTTCGCTGTCGCCGTCGCCGTGCCTGTATTCCCGACGTAGCTCTTTCTCTACAGCCGCTGCCGGGGCCGAGGAATTGCTCGATCCTCTTCACGGCGGTCGAGGTCTGCAATTTTCTGGCCCTGACACTGCGGCCCATCTGCCGCCTGAAGGCATCGATTTCGCCTCGTGTCCGTTTGCGACGCCTCGGAGCGGCTCTTGACATGTGCTGGGTTCCGATGGCACGGGAGAGGTTGTTGCAGTCGCTCATTGAGAGGCTGCCGCCGGGGTGTTGATATCGGCTTTCAACCCTTTGTGAACTCGACATTGCGAAAAGCTCGCCCGACATAACCACACTATCTCTACGGGGATTTTCAGCGTCGACGGGCAGGTGATCCGTCGAGACTTGGTCTACCATCTCGGAAGTGTTGTTGCTCTTCTATGGAGGCTGCATGTCTGTTGTCTTTTGAGGGAACGTCGGAGATGTGGAAACTAGACTATCGTCTCCATCGGCTTGATAAGAAGCATACTCTGCTGCGAGGATCTTCTCCCCCTTCGCATCCTGTGAAAGCTCTTGACATTCAACAAAGGATAAATTGCCGGTCGCAGGATCATTGTTGTCGATGGTCTCCTGAGAGCTATTCTGCGCTGCCCAAAGTCTATCTCTTTCCTGCTGCTGCTGCTGCTGCTGCTACGGCTGAGAGAGTTGTTGGCATTCTGAAAAGGAGACTGCTGTAACTGCATCGATATACTCGATCTTTCCCAAAGAAGGCAGGAGTAGAAGGTCGAAAAGATCGATACTGCTGGAAGCGCTACCGAAGGCGGGCGGGAGACCGGACGTACAGATAGATGCCTTCCGTTGTCGAGACAGCCACGGCCATCTCTGAGCATTCCCACCAAGCATATATTTATATCTCCCAGGTTGGATGAGAGATTTAGAAGATTTCCGATAGAGAACTGGTGGAATGTTCATCTGACGTCTTTTCCTTGAACGTGTCTGATTGACTCGTGCCCCCTCCCAGAAGTCTTTACTCGGGGCCGGCCCTTAAGTTGCACATCACCTGTTGGTGCCACATGCCTGCCTTATTAGGCTTGCTGAGAGCTGGGAGCGGGGAGCTGGTGGATGGCGTCAAGAAATGCAATACCTGATATTTTTCCGCTGCGACTCTGCGATATTCGAAAAGAAAAAAAAAAAATTAATTAGTCAGTGCACTGACTATTACACTTGTAATTGTGAGTATTCAGGGCAATGATGTTTGTTGCCGTTTAGTCAGCAAACAGAGGAGATGGTGCTGGAGATAGGCTGGCTCCAACCAGGAGCCCTAGGTATCCGAACTCGCGAACTCACGTGATGATACACTGCGTCGCCGCGATCAAAAAGGGGCAGGTCGTCAATTTCTTTTGTTATTGCACAACATCGCCGTTTCCGCCTCCGAGCTCTTCAAGTTTTTTTCCAAGGTCCCACCACGTGTGATGTTCCGCCGCGCGCGCAAGCAAGCGGATGTTGATATCAAACTGTGCCCGGCCCTCATGAATTCTTTCTCTTTTTGGGGTCACTACTGCGGATGATGCTGATCTGAGCTAATCCTGTTTCCGTGCCTCTTTGTCATCTCTGGCACTTGAGACTTGAGAGAGAAATTGGAACACGATCCCGCGGCTTCATCTTAGGTATCTGAATGTGTCCGCGCAGGTTCAGATGCCAATAGTATACGGGATCACGTTCGATCTCCTTCTTGTTGCGTGCGCTCTCTTGGCTCCTATTATACTTGGAGGGTGTCTTGAACTATAGCCATATGCTCTTGACGTGGACGGTCTCTAGAAATACTTTACAGAGGGCTTCTTGCGTGTCATCGATTGATGGCTGACCTAGGTCCGGCCTCCTCCGATGATGGCCTTTAGGCGACTCTGACATAGTTCACGCTTCGGAGTATGGTGAGGGACTGAGTTATTGCCTTTCTCATCGGGACCTTTTCTTTGCCACAATCTTTTTCGTTTCTGTGATCTATCTCATTTATAGATAGGACTACAGGAGATCCTATAGATCTCTAGCCTCCCTACGCGGTCTTCCTCGTATAGCGTGTCGGCACAATCAGAGAACAGGATTTCCAGGCCCAGCTCCGCTTAGCAAAGCGAACAACTACAGCCGAATATGACAAAAGTTCGCTAGTGACCGCTATGAAGCCGTTGCTCGTATTGTGACATCGGGAAATCGTGGCAGCTCGATTATAGACAGATGCCCAGAAATAGGAGACAAGCGCATTCCGAAAAGAGAAGTAGTGCTTGGGAGAACGGGGCTCCAACTAGTGATTTGAGTAAGGAATGTTAGGTAGTTTAAATACGCGGTACTGATGCAAAACAAATTGATGCAGTGATGCCTAGCAGCAATTATCTGCAGCTTCCCGTAAAGAGGATTCAGAGCGTTCTCATCGTGCAAGCGAGAAAATCCAGCCAGCCTCGAATACAGTGCTTGGATGGTTGACTGAGGGTCACCTTATGAGTTAGCGAGAGGGCAACAGATTGCCGTGAAAGCGCTCGCGGCGATCACGATGTGCTTCGGTCGGAATCAAGATGGATGTAAGCCGATAGCATATAGGGCTCATTTGCTGTGCCCTTCAAGCGCGTATTATATTGTACAGTCAATTGGGACATATGGCTATGAACACATTCATGTCAAGCCATACCATGACGAGTAGTACCGTCGAAGATGAACAATTTCATCGAATATCGCCACCGCCCAGGATATCTTTCAAGTTAATTTCGCCACTTCCTCTAGGCAGTGGCTGAGACTGGTTTGGGCCTTCTTTCCAGCCGATCATGTATATCATCCGGAACGTCGCTGGCAGCGTACCATCCTCGTTGCCGTGAAGCTCCCGATATATACCTTCGTTCGCAAGCAGAACATCTCTTTTGATGGCCCCTGGTTCTCTTCCAAGAATCGCATTGCTCTCTCCCATCGCCTGCAAGTCTTGCATCAGAGAAAATGTATCGGGAAAGTCAACAATGATGTCATCGACATCAACCGTCAGCATTTTGAACCCAGCCTTCTGTAAAAGCCCGCCCATATCTCTAACATCAGCCAGAGGAGACACGTGTGGAGAGACACCACCTCTCCGCTCCTGGTCTGCTAATTGTAAAGAAGTCCGCAATTCGTACAAGGTATCTCCTCCAAACATCGCCGCCAAAAACGGGCTGTCGGGCTTCAGAACATGGTTTATCTGTGCCAGTAGCGATGGTAGGTCGTTGATCCAGTGCATACTCAGGGAGCTTAGCACAGCGTCGAATGTGTTTGCTTCAAAAGGAAGCCTTTCTTCATCGTCAAGCACTTCGCGTGTAAGTGTAATCTTTTGGTTGAAGGGTAGGTCCACGTCTCGGTACAACATACTTCGTGACGACTCTGCTGCTGTGAGCTTCGACAGTCGCGAAGAGATAGAAACAGGCTCCTTGGTGGGATCTGGGTAGCGTTCTGGGAGAGTAAGTGCCCGTGCGATTTGACATGAGTTTGCGCCGAGGTCGAGGACATTGTCGAACTCGCGGTTGATATCCTGAGGGCATCAGTTTGGATGCTCAAGCGGAGGGATTGAGCCTACCAGGAGTCTTTCCGATAGCCGCATAGCTACCTCATCCTTCAGATAGTCCACTTGTCTGCTCCGTTCTACATCGGAAGCGGCCCGCTCCTTCTGTAGGTATTTTGTATGTCGATTGAAGATTTGGAGAGTTGGTGATCCGGGAGCTTGAACTGCATAACTTCGGGACATCCAGATTCTCCTTCGAATTGCCGGGCGGGGCAAAAAAGGCCTTAGACTTACGGGCTTCATCTTCTCAATTGTACTAGGAATTAAAGCTGTTGTTGCCTTCGGATGAAGAAATGCACGGGGAGGCTGTAGTGACGTTCGGGGCGCTTGAGCCTCGCCACACTCCAAGCCGGCCCCTGTCAACCCTCATGAGGGGGATCGTCCGTCAGACCTCCATCTTCAATTTTCAACAACACAGCTTCACGCCGACAATAACACAATATCTCGCCGTAGACTCAAAGAACTGCTGGCTTTCACGCCGCGATACATATCGGATGGGGTTCCACGAGCAAGGCTAAACCGTCGAGGCCTGTGTATGCGATATCCTACGTTCCAGAGCATCCGCTTGCGAAAGTGCCAAATCTCCAACCAGACGCGACGACTTCTGCTGTGCGCACACTGGAACTCGACTCGCCCGGTTCTTGTGTTACAGGGAAGCCTGTGTGGGAAACAAAGAATTGTCGGAGTCTCTGCGGAAATCCAATAGGCGCATACGGGACGAGAGCCACAATTTCAATATGGCCTCCTCGGCGGCAGCAGGCTTTCTAGGCCGCGGGAGCTCAGGAAACAATGCGAACATGCGTGGATTAGTGCAGTTCATCGCGGACATACGGAATGCGAGAGCAAGAGAATTGGAAGAGAAGAGGATAAATAAGGAGCTGGCGAATATAAGGTTGGTAATCGATCGGGTTTGAATTAAGGGATGGGAATTTTGCTGATGCATTCTGTTCCACAGACAGAAATTCAGAGGTATTGCCGCCGAGAAATACCCAGGACTTGAAATTCTGTAGGAGGATAAGGGCTAATTCACGGGCGCAGATGGGAACCTCAACGGCTATCACAAGAAGAAATATGTCTGCAAGGTATACAACTCTAGCTATTTTTCAACAAAAGTACCTGACAAGTAGCTAGCTTCTCTACATATACATCCTGGGTTGGAACGTCGACTTCGGACACCTGGAAGCTGTCAATCTCATATCTGCAAGCAAGTACTCTGAAAAGCAAATCGGATACCTTGCCATGACCCTTTTTCTCCACGAGCAACACGAACTCCTGCATCTGGTTGTCAACAGTATTCGGAAAGATCTCACGGATCAGAACGAGTTGTACAATTGTTTGGCGTTACATGCCATCGCCAATGTTGGAAGCAGGGAGATGGGCGAGGCACTAAGTGGTGAAGTACACAGATTGCTGATATCTCCGTATGCCACCAAGATCCAGTTTGCTAGGCCCCTACTGATGGTGAAATTTAGGACTTCCAAGGCGTTCGTGAAGAAAAAGGCCGCGTTGACTCTGCTCCGTTTGTACAGGAAACACCCAGACATCGTTCAACCGCAATGGGCCGAAAGAATCATTTCGCTCATGGACGATATAGACATGGGAGTGGCGCTCTCTGTAACTTCGCTGGTCATGGCACTTGCCCAGGACCAACCCGACCAATACAAGGGCAGTTATGTCAAAGCTGCGTCAAGAATGAAGAGAATATTAGTCGACAACGAATACGCGACAGACTACCTTTACTATAATGTACCGTGTCCGTGGATACAGGTCAAGCTGCTTAGGCTGTTGCAATATTACCCACCATCAGGTGAGTTATTCCAAATCTGAACTGGAAATATGTTATTGATATATGACCAGAGGATACACATGTCCGCGATTTAATACGCGAGTCCTTACAAAAGATTCTGAATCTAGCCTTGGAAATGCCCAAAAATGTGCAGCAGAACAATGCGCAAAACGCCGTCCTTTTCGAGGCCATCAACCTAATTATTCATCTCGATACTGAACAGGCACTGATGAGTCAAATCTCGCACCGGCTAGGAAAATTCATTCAATCTAGAGAAACGAATGTAAGATATCTTGGGTTGGAGGCCATGACTCATTTGGCTGCTCGAGCAGAAAACTTGGATCCGATTAAACAGCACCAGGGCATCATTATCAGTTCGTTGAAAGATAGGGACATTAGTGTGCGGCGTAAAGGTCTGGATTTGCTCTACAGCATGTGCGACCAAACCAACGCTCAGCCGATCGTTGGCGAACTTCTGCAATATCTCCAAAATGCTGATTTCGCAATCCGAGAGGAGATGGTCTTGAAGATTGCCATCCTGACCGAAAAATACGCTACGGACATTCAATGGTATGTCGACATCTCTCTTCGGCTGATCTCGATTGCGGGAGACCATGTGAGTGACGAGGTTTGGCACCGAGTCATCCAAATTGTCACAAACAACGAGGAACTGCAAGTCTATGCTGCACAGAATATCTTGCAGTATCTCAAGGCAGACCATTGTCACGAAACTTTGGTGAAGATTGGCGGCTACATCCTGGGCGAGTTCGGTCATCTTGTCGCAGAAGACAAGGGCTGTAGTCCCATCGAACAATTCATTGCAATCCAAGGGAAGCTTCAAGGCTGCTCCTCGCCTACTCGAGCAATCATTCTTTCCTGTTTCATCAAATTCGTTAACCTGTTCCCCGAAATCAAACCTCGACTCATGTATGTCTTCCAGGCGTACAGTCATACTTTGGACTCCGAGCTTCAACAGCGAGCATGTGAATATCTCGCGTTGGCGAGTCTGCCTACCGATGATCTACTACGCACTGTTTGTGATGAAATGCCGCCATTCCCGGAAAGACAGTCTGCTCTTCTATCTCGATTACATCAGAGGCATGGCAACACTAGCGATAAGCGAACTTGGGTCGTGGGTGGAAAGGATGCCAATGCCAATGAGAAGGAATTAAGCTTGACCAAGAACACAGGTCTTACGCAATCTTTCAGTGCGAATGGTACTGCGAGTAGAGTGAACGGTTCCTCAAAGGCGACCAATGGCTCGAATGGCCATGCCAACAGCAACAGTGATCTCGCAGGCTTAGATTTGATGGATGTTGGACCGTCGGAACCCAAGACTTTGAAAGCGCCAAACCTTGCTAGTGCTGCTCACCTTTCTCCCGATTGGGAGTATGGCTATAACAAACTCTTGCTGAAAGCAGAAGGGGTACTTTACGAAGATGGGCAGATGCAAATTGGCGTGCGGTCAGAATATCGTGGGCAAATGGCCTGCGTCATTCTTTACTTCTCTAACAAGAGTCCAAGAGCAGTCAGCTCGTTCACGACAACCCTCGATCTCGAGCCATCGGAGAAGGGAAATCTGAGCTGGGAAGTAAAGGGCTTACCTGAGAGCACGATCTACGAAGGCTCCCAAAGTCAGCAAATGATCATGTTTGAGGCGAAGAAGGTATTCGAGAAGAGTCCTACCATTCGAATCAGTTACTTGGCAGGGGCGTTGCAAGCCCTTACGCTGAAGCTCCCTGTCACGATTCATAAATTCATGGACCCTGCCGAGCTCTCAGCAGAAGACTTCTTCAAGCGCTGGAAGCAGATTGGTGGCGCACCCCGCGAAGCACAGCGTATCTTTGGCGTGAAAGGAGGTAAAGGGGGCGATCATGAGATCAATGAGTCTTTCATAAGAAAGACTATCAATGGCTTCAGGTGGGGTGTTTTGGATGGTGTTGATCCAAACAAGAAGAATTTCGTTGGCGCTAGTGTTTTGCATACTGCTGAAGGTGGAAAGTTCGGGTGCTTGCTTCGCCTTGAGCCTAATTATACGACAGGCGTAAGTTTTATTGCGGTTTATTTGGATGTGACGAATGTGCTGACATAAAGTCTTAGATGGTTCGGCTCACTATTCGCGCCACGGACGAGAGCGTGCCTCCAATCATGATTCAAACCATGCAAGAACGCCTAGAGGTCGGCGTATCCACTCACCCCGAAGTCATCGAGCCTCCAACGAGGAGAGAAATCTCGGAATCTTTTGGTAACGTGCTTGTAACATGAGCCTAATTGTGGTGAAAGCATATGGTATACGATAAAATCCTTTCTTCTGAATGCTGGGTCTAGGGAGCATGGTAAATATCGGTACATAGCTTGCTTGTGCATTTAATGGAGTCTTATTGAGCGTGTCGAAAGTATTGAGAGCTTGCTGTCGTTCAAGCATAGCTATGTCTTGCCTTTGTCATGCATCCTTGCGACTCGCGAGCCACGCCTCCGGTGGATGGCTCAAGTGAGCCTCATGTGAGGCGAGACCCACCGATCGCCATGACTGACTTTCCTTACATATTTACTCATCTCACCTCGTCCCGCCAACTGCAGAGCTTGCCTCCGGTTCCTTGCATCTGTGCATTCTCGAAGAGGAAGCCGGGCAAAAGTCTCTCGGTACCGAAGACCTGAAAGGAGGACAAGAAGAACATGTGACGATGCTACGCTTCCAACTGTAAGTACCTTATTAAACAGATTCTCATCATCGACCATGGTACTTCCGGCCTCGAGTCGGATGTATGTAATGCTGGCTGGGATCAAGACCCATCGCGATGAACGAGAGGCACATTTGGTATATTATTCGAACCCGGCTGCTGATACGAAGAACGAGAGATAATCCTTCAAAAAATGTTGGGTAATAGCATAATCGTGGTTACGGATGATGGCAGCCGGTTGGCTAAGATTGTGGTGGGAGGCTCTCGAGAGCTAAGTGCTTTTACGAGTACCGTGGCTACAAGTAAGTCATTTCTACTTCCAGCCCCCTTCTGAAAGTTTGGAAGAAGCGATCCACATGGTTGCAACGAAACGATACCAGAATGACAGCGCCTCGAGAACCTCAGTGGAGAGGGCCAATTTTGTTAACAGTCTAATAGAAGCATCCGATGCTTATACACGGGGCTGAGATCCAGTACATAAAGGTACAAGCAGGCACGAGACTACGGGTCCTTCAACACAGCCCGGCGCTTCTCCGCAAACGTATCTATACCTTCCTTCCGGTCTTCAAGCGCGAAAGAGCCATAGTATAGACTTTTGTTTGATATCACAGGTGTTGTTGGTAAGACTAGTCTTGGTGTTTTTCGTTGTTTTTGTAGTGGATGCATTTCTATGGAGGTCGTAGGGAATGATTTATTCCCTAAGAGGAAGCCGCGCCATCACGTGTTTTAAGTTCCTCCCTTTCCTGACCTTGGTGGTCAGCTGTATTCCAACGGACTTTGCTCGAGCTGTATTCCGGAGCGACAGGGGCGAGATCTGTATCAATCAAAATGAATGGCCCTTTTGCCCAGCTGCACAGCCGGTGATGGAATTATGAATGCCGCAGCAAGTGTCTAATCATAGAGTTCAGTGCGTGGAAAGTCCGTGCCACGAAGGCCTAGCAGCTCCAATTAGAAATTTTTAGCGGATCTTATCAATTTATTAACGGAGTGAGGACGAGGTGCATTACCTTTGGCTTCCCTACTTACTAACCCTCGTCAATCTCTGAGCTCCTCCTGCCCCGAATTCCGGATATCGTGCCGACTGCAGTGATGTTAGCCTAACACTGCTGCGAAGGGGAGAGAGAGGCTATGGACCTATCAACTCTGGAAGGCCAGACTTACGCGCCTTCAGCTGCGTGGATGGTATTGCACATCATCGCAGGCTCGAATGGGTTCCTCAGAGGTCGCTGCATCTGACAACTTAAAAGTGTGTGAGCTACCTGATTCTGTACCCCCTAACGTCCCTTCTTGGATATTTGTAATAGTGGGGGCCATTTGAAGGGTCTCGACTCTCTACCAGGGGGGGTACAGGGGAGCTTACAAGGGCTTTTTTCTAATTAGCTCAGTAGAGATTTCACTTCAATGAAATAATATTCAGTTGGCCATCTTCGAGCACCGATTACTTACAGCTCCACAGCGCCGCTACTACGATTCGTATAAGGTCTCGATATAATAGTAATAGTAGTATTGATACACGTCGGGCGGGTATGCAAAACGCAATGCTTAGACCCTGGGACCTCCCATGGGGTACGGCGACGTGCTAAGTAAAGGAATCACATACCAAGTATTATCCAACCGGGAATAAAAAATCACGTTAGGAAAAGCTCTCTTTCAATTAACCCCGGGTTTCTAGTCCCGCGGTATCGCAGAATCTTTATCAGCCCTTTAAAAAAGCATTTCAAAGAATTTGCATCGAGTTGTCTTCCGAGAACTATCGAATACTGTGAGGGGACTGGCTGACCCGGCAAGTCGGTCGATGGAACAGCCGAGAAAATCAAAGAGTGCACAGACAGACCCTCTCGAAAAACTTATCTCCTTTTCTTTGCTTCGCACTTCGCAACTTACGATCTCTCTTCTCTCCATAGACAATTTTGTCGGAAAGCTACAAAGGCTCGCGTTCGTAGCCCTGAGGTAAATAGATTAGATCATTTATTTCCAATCTATAGGACTTTTTTGTTTAATTAAGGTTGTAGTTATTTATATATTTTAAGCAGGCAAGTAAAATTGAATTATTTAGGATAGTTTTTAGCTACATTCTCATTACTTTTTGATGTATTAGGTCACTACAAATGAAAGCATCTTTATATTCTTAATTCGCGATTGTAAAATATAGTTTTCTGAGCATAGAAAATTTTTTTCTTCGTATTTATATTAATAGTTATTGTTTAATAAGTGGTATACCGTTACTGTCCCGCCTTGATGGTGCCGACTTGCTACAGCAAGTCGGTCAATTCTTTCGAGTTAAATTTAAGGTAAACGACGATTAAAGGAAAATCTTTTCGAAGAGTCGCTGCATGTCGATGATTCGAGTTCGGCTTTCTAAACTCTTTGCCGCAGGAAAAAGCTGAAGGGTTTGGAAGAGGCACCACGTACAGGTAGAAAATCGCAGCCTCCCTAACGTCTCGATATAGCTACCTATCAAGAACAGTGTTCCGAGACTCGAAAATAACTCTTCGCGGCATATCAAATGAAAGCGCAATGAAAGCGCTGGAGCGTACAGAAACTAGAGAAACCCTTGCAAATTTGGCCCACTTATGAGTATTTTAGAGACAGCTACCCCATCCATGCTCATCAACAGTGAGTGAGTGACCTTCAACAAACCGGAACCACGAAAAAAAAAAATATCGGGTCCCTGCGCACGGCTCACCTGGATGAATTAATTGAAGTGCCACTTGAAAAAAAAAGTAAATATATACATAAAAAAAAAACATCGGAGCTGTTCTACCACGTTTTGCGGCTTTTGCCTCGTCTCGGGCTCCGTGCTAGCCGGTCCCCGAATATCATATTGGCAGCGGCTCGGGCCGCTCTGAAAGGGGCGCTTTTTGGTCTGCCTATATTTATCACCAGAACGAAATCACGTTAATCTAAGCGTCGGCAAAGCTTTCTCTGTTTTGATCCTACTTACTTACCACCCCTAAAATCCCGAACTATCCCCCTTCTAGAAATAAAGGCAGGATCCCAGGGGTGGCACGGATAGAACTTTTGCTGTGGTTTGCGGTCCCGCCCTTTACTACGTATTTCTAGAGGGCAGGGCTAAAAGTAAACGGAATTTTGCAGAGGCTCTTTACTTATAGTACCATGGCTTTTCAATAGAATTGACGAGGTTGAAACTACCACTTTGATTGTACGATTTACAACTACATGCTAAACTGGGTTAGTTTTTTTTTTTTTTTTTTTTTTTTGTAAAGGGACTGGGGGGACAGTGCCAACTGTGTCGGTGACGTGGCTTTTGGCATGGATGCAGGATGCAGATCTCCCGATGCCACGCCGGACTAAGGCCCGAAGTAAACAGGGATGAGAGAGATCATCATATCTTCGTCTCGCTATTCGTCGACCGAGGGCTGGACGGAAGGAGGCCCACCTAAGCGAGCCGGCGATTAGTGCCTATGGGCAAGTGCAAAAGATTTATTCGCTTTCGATCGAGGTCTGAAAAAGGGTAAACAAGTAAACATGCTGTAACTGATAGCAGACCAACTGCGGCTCTTAGGTCTATTCGTTCATCCGGTGGAAATGCTCAAAAGGTGTAGATGGAGAAGGCAGGTCTGACTGTAAGGAGGAGGTGCATACTCACTCACCTAAGTAGGTAGGTACGTCAACGGAGTCAACAGGTACTGTCGTCCACTATCAGTCTTGTTGGTAAGTCACAGGGGGTGAGTGATTAATCAGTCGTGTTGTGTGTTGTTGTATTTGTTGATGGTTATCTCTATTCTTACAAAGTGGGCTGCCCCTTAAGGGGGCAGGAGCCACGGCGGCACGTGCCTCCCCACGTGCCACACCCTTCACGTGTCCGGCGCCCACGACCGTACCAGTAGTCCGACAAGTATCGAATTCACAGACCCGAGGGTTTTCATCTGCTAGCGTCGGTGGGCAGGCGTTCTTTTTCTCTTAACATTCCTGCCGCACCCACCGTCTTTTTTTTCCCCCTGAAAGAAATCTTATGTTTCAATCTATAGCAATAGCCTCTTATAGCGCGATGCAATCAGCTGTTCCTTGAGCATTTGTTCCATAGCATTAACCCCTTTCAGCCCCCTTTAGCACGATGTAGCCAGCTGTCCCTTGAGTTACAATCCATAGCAATAGCCCCTTACAGCGCGATGCAGCCACCTGTTTCTCGAGCATTTTTTTCTTTATTATTAATTAGCTATTAATCAAGTATTCGAAAAGAAAAAAACCTCCCCTTTTTCTGATTACTCGGCGCTTAGTCAAGTTTTGAGTGCTCCTCTGATAGAATCAGGAGTTCAGAAGGTGTAGTAGATTCAGTATAAGAGTACTGAGAGCTAAGTACAGGTGTTCCTAAGGGAACAGCCAAGAGCCAAGAGGCTAGTCCATACAAGGGAATATAGGCGGCAGTCTAATATTCTAACATCCTCGATGGCCCAAGCTCAAATGGATGCACCAAATCAACAATTTCCTTTTAGGTCAATTGATAGGTAGTGTTGTTTAACAGTTTACTGGTTTACGGTCTTAGCCATGGATCCACGTGTAGCTCAACATTATGTTGGATTATATAAGATACCGGACCACATCCAAGAATGCTACGTACTTGACAGTGATCAGTTGACCTTGAAGCTAATTAGCTTAACCACCATCCAGAATTTTGAGGAGGGCAGCATTTCACCGCTTCAGACAGAACTATCCACGAAGCGTTCGAAGAGATCGTCTACCGGCAGGCTGACGAGATTGCGGCCCAGCACGATGGCTAGAGACTCACCTACGCAGAACTCGACCGAGCTGCAAATGGACTTACGAGTCGCCTAATTGCCATGAGATTAAAGCCCAGACAGTACGTCTGTGTGATGGTCCAACGCTCTTTACCCATGGTAATTGCGATTTTCGCGGTCCTCGAGGCTGGCTGGCAGTACATTCCCCTAGATGTACAGGTAATGGCCGAGACCGTACTCCGCCGTATCACGAAGGATACTCAAGCCCCGTTTGTCCTATACTTTGAAATATTTCATATGAAAGTCGGACAGCTTGCCGAGCCTACAGCCCAGATTTTAGTCCTGGACGACTCCACAATGGCTCTCCTGTTGAGAGCAGCTTTTCAAACCAAGAGTCTAGGCAGCAGAGGACCTCCCAATGGTGTTCTCACGGAAATGTGGCCAGCCGTTTGTTGAGCTCCCCTGGAAACTTGGTGATCCAGCGAGGAACTCGGGTGACCCAGCTGCTTTCTACCTCTTTTGACATGTGTACGTGCATTTTGAACCCTTTGATATCGAGCCTGCGTTCTGACAAGGTCTAGGCCGATAGGAAATACTTGGAACGCTGGTCAATGGAATTGTACGCCCCGTGCCACCTTGATGCTTGGAGCCTCGCTAGAGCACACTTTCCAGCGCGCGCAGGACAGAATGGTCCAATAAGCCAACCGCTCTAAACGCTCTGTTGATTTTGTTGGATATGCGCTCGCTTTGTTGGATATGTGCTCGTTTCTTACAATACGCCTTTCTAAAGAGCTCAACAGCCTCATCAACGGTCCATTCGACGTCACCGATAATGTGCTCAATAGCTTTAGGGTTAAGCTTTCCGAGTCAATACGTAAGACGCTGTTTAGTGTTTCATCTTCTTAATGAAACCTCCCGGCGACTTTACGCTAGGTCAAGCACGGATTAAATCTGAATATACCGGTACTACGTACTGTAGTACGTACCACTCCCCTCCGAATTGCTGCACGCTCAGGCCTGAGCATGCCTCAAAAGTCTAAATTTCCACTTCAAACCCCCTGGTTACCCTACCCTCAAGGGTGTAATACTTAGGCCTGTGACGTAGTACTACGTATTAACACTCTCCCCCTTATGAATACATGTCGAAATACACTCTCCCCCTTATGAATACATGTCGAAATTATGATTTTGCAAGGAATCTTACGAGGTCTTAAACAGATCAACTTACTACTATAAGGATTCATTCAGTCTTGAAAAGTATTTTTGAGCCAGTCTTTAGTCTGTGCAATGGAGTTGACAAGGCTTTAAGGTATTCAGAACTCACCGCTCTATGACCTATGGAGCTAAACGGGGTCCGACATTCATTCATAGGGGGAGATAGTAGCTATCATTGGGGAACATGAATACTCGTGCGGCCATGAAGTCTGTCCAGCAAGGCGAAAAATCTTGGAGACGCACGGTGCGCTGGAGTGTCTTTTCGGTACTGGTAGAGTCCTGCAACCTATTTTTGGGCAATTTCCGCCTTGGTAGACAGACTTCATATTCCTACCGTGCGCTGGCACCCTTGAATATTGCGCTTCTTGGCTCGACTTCGAAATTGATCCTATCTGGTATTCTGGTTCCCACTTTATTCCGATTGCGCTTTATATTTAAAATACCCTACTTTTATTTAACTACAGAGAGACATTCAGCTCATTTGCAAAGCTCCCTAAATAATTCAAAGCTATTGGAGCGGGCTTTGATGTCCGTACGATCCTTTGGATAAAGATTAGTCTATATATAAATTATAGTTCTTATTATAATTATTGTTATTACAGCATTTATTTACGTCTAGCGAGCTGTAATCGATGGCCCGCCGCTTAGACCTTCTATACTCCGTAAGATACGACGACGTGCTGAGTAAAGACTTATACATGGAAAGGCTTTAATAGGCATTTTCTAATGATGCAGCGTGACTGCTAATCGTCGGTTATATTGAATTTAATTGGTGAAAAATCCGACCTGCGCCAGGTCGGTAGTTTTTACAATCATACTCAAAGCAACCGACGATTATCACTTGCGCTTTCTCATATACAACTCTAATGGATTATATAAAAAAAAGGAAACCTTGTCACGAAGGAAGAATCAAGATATGCAAGGCAAAACTTTCCGACGCCAGCTTAGAAGCGTGACGTGTCAAAGTTACCAAAAAGATGTAAGATCGGATCGAAGTCAATCATTTAAATAAAAATGTAAGACAAACGCATACCAGTGAATGTCAAGACCAAGTTCCTTAGGACAGTACATCCGTAAGGCTGTGGATAGAGGCTCGAGGACGAGCTTCTTTTTGGACAGGGGGGCCAGTATGACAGCGCACTGAGTTTTGTTCTTATCATCATCTTATTTCCATCGAGCATTTCTAAAGCCGTTGATTAAAGTTTCCGTACTGACGTACTTTCATCTTTCTACTTTCGGTCGCGGCCTCCGAGTCAGACCACACCTCGCGGGCTATCGGGATCGTTTCTATTCTCGGCTTTTATTTTTGGAGGCTCATTAGCGGGGCTCCCTCTTCCTTTTGTATATAGCTCTCAGCATCCTTCAACAATTACCTTTCACACATTCCAGTTCACTGCATTGAGATCCTCTTCCTCTTTCTCTCCCTGTGACTTCTTTTGCCCGCTTTTATTCCGGACTAGTCATTAGGAATAACCTGACTCATCTGCAACGAACCACGCTCATGCCGTTATCTATACGCCATCTATGTTAAATACGTCAGCTCGTAAAAATCGCCTGAATATCAAGGTCATCGCTTTAGCTGGAGAGCTGTGTCCGAGCGAGTAAGCAGAGTCATATCAACCTTGCACAGCATCCCTGACTTTTGGGCCCTAGTCTACCAAACTACTGGGGAAAAAATAACCACATTTTATAACTACTGTGGGCACACTGAAGTTACAATGGTGAACACAATGCCCAGGTACGTCCGTCATCCCATATTTACCCAAGCACAGCTATCCTGACAATGAGTCTAGTCACGAATCAGAGAAAGAGCTCTCCATTAGCAACTCCGTCCCAAAAGCTGGCATTTACATTCTCGACGATGATGAAAATCCGGTAGGAACTTGTCAAACAGGTTTGCTGTGGTTAGGCAGTGCAGCCGCTCCCCCTCCCCGAGCGTCTTTGTACTTGCCAGAATCGACGGCGAAGAGATACAAATATGACCCATTTGAAAAAAATGGGTACGTTCCCTACTATCTCTGAGCTACCGAGTGACAGCTAATCTGAGGTAGCTCCTTCATGTACAATACAGGAGCCTTATGTTGCTGGCGAGCAGACGGATCCATCGCCTATCTGGGTCGACAAGATGAACAAGTAAAACTCAAAGCTCTTGAAGCACCTAAAACTCTTACCTGCAAGTACTAACACCATCTAGGGACGCCGCGTCAAGCTCGAAAGTATCGCTGCCTCAATGGAAGAGGCGTCGTTTATTACCAAAGCGTGTGCTATATTTAGCGAGGGGTTGCTTTGGGGTTTCTACTCAGGATCTCCGAACGTCGACGTGGCAACCATCAAAGCATTCGTTGCAGAAAGACTGCCGGAATATGCTGTCCCTTCCAAGTTTGTATTCCGGGAGACTCTCCCTTTGAAACCGAATGGCAAATTCGACAGGCGAGCGTTGCTGGCTTCAGTGGGCACGTATGTGGCCTCCTCTCCGCCAGATACACCCGTAGAACCTGATCTTCTTGCTTCATGGATCTTGGAGAAGGAGAAGGCTCAAGTCTATATCAGAGAACCTGAAAGATCTTTGGCAGGTAGCTTGAAACTTGAAGGCGATCATTTAGTGGGCGCGGCTGTGACTGTCACTCCACCTGCTTCAGCCATGCCACCTGCACATCTCTCTTCGGAGAAGGAGATGATGCAAGCCGTTGTTACAACGCCTGTGGTAAATTCTCCAAGCAAGATTGAGTTACCAGGCAAGAAGGGAGTACATGGTCTCCGCTCGATACGACACAAGATTTTTTCGCTCTATCGATGGCTCTTTTCTTTTGCCTTTATTGCCAACTTGATGGGTATGGTTCTTATGTGGAAGTTCAGCAAAGCCGGAAGAGGACTGCAAAATGCCTGCATTGCCGAGGCTGTAAACCTTTTTATGGTAGTGTTGATGAGGCAAGAGTACTTCATCAATGCCTTATACAGAGTTGCATGTCTCGTGCCAACTTCATGGCCATTCGTACGTATAAACCTTTTAGGAGTCTCGGGCGTTTCGCTTATGGGTTGGGCTCTATCTACTGAGTTCCTCCTCTTCCATTTCTCTGCTGAGGGCGCATCGCTGACTTTTAGGCGTGTAGTGGATCAGGAAACGCGTCGCGAATATTTACCACATAGGTGGCATTCACAGTGGCTGCGCAATCAGCGCACTTGTCTGGCTAATCATCTTCACCGTTGGATCCACGATCAATCGTCCCGATGTCGCCGTTCTCACTGTTTCCTACCTAATTCTCGCTCTCATGACTGCAATGATCGTAACTGCGCATCCCGCCATGAGAAAGAAGTACCACGACAGCTTTGAGATGGTGCATCGATTTGCTGGATGGACCGTGGTCGCTCTCTTCTGGGCACAAACAGTTGTCGTTGCCAACAGTTTCCGCGAGGATACAGTTGAAGTTGATGCCAACGGTGTCATTATAAGCAATTATTCTTCACTCGGTTCCGCATTGCTCAAGAGCCCCGGAATGTGGCTCCTTTCGATGGCGACCTTCAGCATCATATTGCCTTGGCTACACCTCCGCAAGGTCACAGTCCGGACAGAATTCATGTCTAAGAGTGCTGTGCGTCTGTACTTCAACTATACTAGGAATCCGAGACCCGGAACAGCGATCCGAATCTCTACCCGTCCGCTTCTGGAGTGGCATGCCTTTGCAACCATTGCCAAGCCCGGCGAGAATGAGTTCTCGATACTTATCGCCAACGCAGGCGATTGGACGTCAAAACAGATAGAGAAGGGTCCTTCGAAGATGTGGGTGCGTGGTATACCCACCTCTGGTGTCGTTGGAATCACCCCCCTCTTCCGATCGGTCCTCCTCGTCGCCACTGGTTCAGGTATCGGGCCCTGTCTCCCAGTTATATATGCGAAGAAGGTTCGCTGTCACATTTTCTGGAGTGCTCCGTAAGTTGTCTTCCCCTCTCCTGGTCCTGTGGCAAACCATTTACTGATTTGTTCCTCTATCAGTAATCCGGAGTCGACTTTTGGCCCCGAGATCATCAACTCCATCACCGAATGTTATCCCCAAGCGGTAATCCACAACACGAAAACGATGGGCCGGCCTGACATGGTCGCCATGACTTATAGAATGTTTAAAGAGAGTGGTGCTGAGGCTGTGGTGATCATCAGTAACCAGAAGCTGACACAATTAGTTGTGTACGGGATGGAGAGTCGGGGTATTCCTGCCTATGGTGCGATTTTCGACTCGTAGGTGAACTGGATAAGGGCAAAGACAAAGGTGTTGGATTGGATTGATTATATTGGGGGCGTTTGCGGGATACCCTGTGATCACAGAATTGTTAATTAGGCGCTATTTTGTAGCGATTTATGTGGCTGGAAATTTCGGTTTCAGATTGTCCCAGCTAATTGTCGGTTACCCTGTTTCAATTCAAAAAGATTGGCCGACTTTGCGGTAGCAAGTCGGCACCACCAAGACGAGACACTTTCATGAAAACACTTGTTGAACCACAACTATTGATAGAAGCATAAGAAAAAAAATCTATATGCTTAGAAAACATTGCTACACAAACGTGCATTATAGATATAAAAATTTATCTATACACTGCAAGTCAAAACATTGCGATGACGTGAAAATACGGCTAAAACCTGAATGTCCCAAATAATCAAATTTCGCCTGTCCGGCTTAAATATCTCAACAACCACAACTCTAATAAAAAACACATCTCATAGGTCAATAAGAAATAGTTGAATCTATTATATCGTAAGAGGAAGTAACTATGAAATGAAAGTTAGCGACGTAGAAAGTGGATTTTCGATGGATTTTGATAAAAGTCCGATGCTCGTGTTCTTCGCTTATTTTGGTATTATTTATATGGCAACTCTAATATGCACGCATAGTAAAACAGCATCGTAACCGGTTTGCTTTGACTGTCGGCCACGTTGAAACCGAGCTAGATTTACGTGATTTCTCAAGAACGACAGCGAGTTACCAACAACGGACATTGATCAGAGGTGGTGATAGATGGACCGGTTACTCGTCCTCGCGCGATTTTAATGAGGTTGAGAATTTAAACTCGCTACCTTAAGCTTAATTAGCGCACGGACCAATGCAGGTACGTTTGTGTTTATACTCAAAGGAGGACGCGGGCTACAACCTTCAATGCCTTGAAAGGCTGTCGGTAAGTTACAGGATAAAGACCTTTGGTCAGATCGGACTATATTACAGTGGTACTCTCCCAGAGCTGAGAGTCCTCAGCAGCGATCGATTGCTTGGAAGTCATTTTCTTTAAACACGACCCTCAGCCCTTAGGAGCTCCTTGCTTCCGACGCACTACGGGTGCGTTTATAGCTACAAAACTAGTCGATATCCTCCGAAATAGGGCTTATAGCTGCTGGAGTCCCAAACGCTCAAACATACTCTGGCCATAGCTTCCGCCGCGGAGGTGCTCCTCAAGCTGAACTGAATGGAGTCATTCACGAAAAGATACAATTGGTGGGACAATCGACTTTAAACGCTTTCTCAGGCTACTTCTATACAAACGTGGTGTCAAAATTCGCTCTTAGCTTACGAATTTTAGCAAAACGATGCCCTTCCTTACAAAACAACCCTTACAAGCACATTTCTACAGGAAACAATTAACCCCTTTCTACTACTACTCTCAAACACAATCTACAATGGTACAATACCGCAGGTCACAAGTCGCCATACAAAACTGCTTCTACAATTACACTACTCTCTACTACTTGCTACTACAATACATCTCTACAAACAGCACCTCACACACACAAACAGACTTTCGCCTCGTCGCACTTTCTACTCTCGGCCACAAGTCGCCCCTCTCTTCACTCCTCACTACTTTTGGCACAGGCTCCACCTTCGCTTCTTTGAGCTTAGCTCAATTTTCTCACAGCTGGCTTCTTCTTAAGCAAGCTATTCTTAGCTGCTTTCAAGAAGCTTGCTAGCCAGCTCTCATCAGATCAATCAAAGCTCAAGGGCGCCTGACGGCCAAATCTCACATGTTTCACCTTTTCCCTCCTGTTCCAAGCAATCGAGTTTGAAGATGAAGGTGTAATTAAAGTACTTTTCTAGTACTTTAATACAGAATATTTATCGGCTGACTCCGGTCCAGCCTTGACACTGGTCTTTATGCGACTCGCACAGCCACGCTATAAGCTAGCTACAGCAGTCTGTACCTGCCTGACTCTCTTTTGTGGTTTTCTCTTGACGAGAGACTCCTTTTCATTGTGATCCATCCTATCCGTAAGGGAAGGGCGCAGACGATAGTAACTCTCGCTGCAACACCTTGAATTGCTTTCTGGGGCCTTCTTGTATGTAACTCCTTAGCTTAGCACGTCGCCGTATCCCATGGGAGGTCCCAGGGCGGCAGGCTTCGCCTGCTACCCGCCCGACGTAAATAAATACAGCAGCGATATAGACGCCACGATTCACGACATACAATGTTTTTCTGGCCAATAGATGCAATTGCTATCACTTGACCCAAATAAGAATGTGTCGGTACCACAGGTACCGAATGAGAAGTACGAATATATGGTGGTATCAATTGTATTCGTGAAGTCTGAAGAGGCAGCTATTCTAGCTGAGGGAGAGCTATATGCTGGTGCTAAGGCCTGGTGCCAAGGCCTGCTACCTAAGGTAGTGTAACCACGTGACCTTGGATGCTTAGCCTTATATTCCTATACTAGCAATTCTTTACTTTTCTTGATTCCACCTCGTCGCAAATCCACGTTTAAGCAAAGCTTGAAAAAACATCGCTTTTCTATATACATACAATATTATCTTTCAATTGCTTTTCATTATTCTTTATCATCGTATCTATCGTCGTAATTATTATCATAGCTATCGTTATCGCCGTAATAGTTATCGTCGTTATCGTGATCGTCGTCTTGCTGATCTTCGATATTGCTTTCAAACTCTTCTCGTAATTCTTCGATTTATTCGGCGAATCTATCTTTTTGTATTTAGTTGTAATCGTATTAAGGTTGATCAGCTGAATGGAAGTGAGGTGGAGAAAATCGAGGAGCAGAAGGTTAAGGAATTGAAGGTCGAGGTAAAGGAAGCCAATCATAATTATTAGGTTCGTGAGTGTATTGAGGCTGAATTGAGAAGGTGCGCTGAACTGGCTGAACTGGCTGAACTAGCTAAATTGGCTGGATTAGCTAGGTGAGCGGAGCTTGCTATTGCTGAATTATTTGTGATTGCTAAATAAATTGAAAAGGTGTTAGCTGGTTTATTTACAATCGCGCATCTCGAGATTTTGATAGAAACGAGCAATTGCGCTAAAGCAATTCTCGATAGTCCGTAAATCGGTACGAAGGTTAAAGAACCGAAGGTTAAGGAATTAGTGGTTAAGTAATTAATAGTTAATGAATTAACAATTGCTTTGCAACTAGCTCGAAGCGCTTAGATTCGAGGTCGTCCGTCCAAACGTAAGGTATTGTTTTTTCGAAGCAAGCTTGTAGCACGTAGCTATACGAAGTTCCTTTAATAAGTTGAATCTAAACCTTTCGAAGTATTAGCAATTCGCGGAGATCTCGAGTTACTCGGCGATCTTCGAGCTTTTAAATTGCTTTTGTAAACCTTTTAAAGTCTTTTTTAAAATACTTTTATATTTGTTTGCTTTTGTATATTGCTTTTCGATAGCGTACGAGATTGAAAAAGATATAGCCGTTAACGATAAGAGTTGTTAAGTGATTTAGATTTGTAATTTCGAAGCTTTTTATCTATCTTTCCACTTTATATTAAACCGCTAGCATATTGCTACGGCTGGAAAGAGATGGTATTGTAGTACTATCTAATCGTACGCTTCGTATCGAGAAAGAAAGACGAAGAGGAGAAGTGCTAGAATACAGGAGGGCGGAGAGGTCTTGTACCTGGGGCGGCCGCTAGTGTGGGCCTAGTCCTGGATAGGACTAGGGCAGCGGGCCGCTGACTAATCGATCCCTTGACCACGCCAAAGGCCTGCCAGGACCGTAACACTACCCCCCCCCTTCGAAAAACTGCGTCCTCGCAGTTGCAGTCATAGGTCGGTCGTCTTCCAATTCGCTATAGTCGTCTCTACCCTCGTTGTAAGCTTGCAACCAAAGCGGTAAGGCACGTGGTGGTCCTTTAGCGTGAGGGTGAGCTAAGTGGAAGCGGCGGAGCATATGGGGGCCCGTCATAGCGTCGGAGCAAGGGTACTAATTGAGGTCGTCATTAGCACTAGTCTACTTGATTTGGTAGTATAAGGTGTTGCGAGAGACCTTAGAACTAAGGATTTCCTCAATCTCTTATTCATCTTGTTCTGGAAGGAGCTGAATAGGTGCAGGAGGCTCACGGACCTGGCCTGGCAAAGGGTTTCTAGTGTACTTGCGTAAGGAGTGGGAGTGAAAAACAGGGTGTATTTTCCAACTTTCAGGTAATTGGACCTTCTAACTTTCCCTTACCTTAGCAAGCACTTTGACTGGCCTATACCACTTATCAGAAAGCTTCTTAGAAGGCCGGTCCATTTTTCAATTGCGAGTATCAATCCACACTTCGTCTTCTACGGTCCAATCTACGGGTCGTCGTCGGAGGTCTGCAAGGCGTTTCATTTTCTCTTGCTGAACTGCAATTGACGATTGAGCAAAGGCGATAGCGTCATGCGCTCTAGTGGCGACGTGCACTGCTTCCGCGCGGTTAAGGCGTTCTGTAGCAGAGGAAGGAGGTTCAGGGTTAACCAAGTCGAAAGAAGAGCGGGATTCGTAGCTATTGGCTACTTGGAATGGAGTAATTCCCTTAAGAGATTCATGTGGCAAGGTCAGCTGAGCTACATCTATGAGAGGCACCAGGTGGCTTTAGTTGTCTTGGTAATAAGTGCAGAAGGGGCGCAACCGCTGCTTGATATACTGGTTCATTACCTCAGTCTGCTTATCCACATTAGGGTTGTAAGCTGTAGTAAGCTTGACCTTGGTGCCGAATATTTTGCAAAACTCGCGCCAAAAAGCGGATACGAACTGGGGGCTACGATCGGAGACAATAGAATCGGGCATGCCGAAGTAACGGACCCAGTTCGTGAGAAACAGAACAGCTAGGTCCTTCGCAGTGACTTCTTTATGGCAAGGAAGTGTGACGGAACGTTTTGATAATCGGCACACGATCACGAGAGCAAAGTCGTAACTATCTTCGTCTAATGGCAATTCCGTAAAGTCGACCGTTAGGTGCTGATTAGGGCGGGCTGGAATAGGAAGGGGCACTAAGAGACCTGGAGTCTTGTCACGCTTGGCCTTCATCCTAGCGCATTTACAATTGGAGATATAGCGTGTGACGTCGGAGCCAAGTCCCTTTTAAAAGTATTTGCGTTCTAGCAGTTGTTTTGTTTTAGTGATACTAGCGTGCGCTACGCAAGGTTGGTCGTGCACGTGGCGGATAAGAGCTGTGCGGAGCTCAGGAGGCTCCAAAGGGACTACCAGACGGCCTTGGAAGTAAAGCTTGCTATTGCGTAGATCGTGATCAATATCATGGCTTTCGGTGACAGAGTCCCGTAGGTCTTGTAAAAGAAGGGAATCACGGTTGCTTTGAAGCACACGGTCGATAATATCGTAGCCGTCGATATCGTATGCTATCATATTGGTGTGATGTGCGGGGTCCTCGTCTAAAAGGACGTCTTCCGAAATAGGCAGGTCCGAAGGGACTCCTTGTATAGGGGCCAAAACGACTGGAATGGATTGTACGACGTGGACCGAATCATTAATCACGCTGTACTTAGCAAGCTCAGCAGGGGGGTCGGAAGAGAGTTCGTGCAGGTCTTGAAGCACTTTAGGCGAGAGCTTTTTGTTAGGGAGTAACTGTTGCTTCTTGACAGCACGCTGTCGAGCTTTTAAGGGGGAGATATCTTGATCCCGGCGAGAGAGAGCATCAGCCAGCGTATTCGTAGCGCCGCTGCGATACATAATAAGGAAATGAAAGTTAGCGAAAAATTCAGCCCAGCGTGCTTGGCGTGCCGTAAGATCCTTCGTAGTCATGAAGTATTCGAGAGTACGGTGGTCTGTATAAACGTGGATTGACTTCTGGGAGCCAAGGAGTTCAAGCTTGTAGTTTTGGAAGGAACGGAAAATAGCTAGAAGCTCTTTGTCGTGGATAGGGTAATTAAGCTTTGCATCAGTCATTGTTTTGGAGAAGAACTCGACGGGGTGGTAGAAACCATCGTCTTGCAGTTGAGAGAGAACGCTTGTTACGACGCTATCGGAAGAATCAGTCTCGAGGCGAGTTTGCTTGTAAGGGTCAAAATGGCATAGAATAGGGGCATGTTGCAAGGCTAGTTTAAGCTTATCCTAAGCTTCCTTGCAAGTGGAAGTGAAAAGGAATGGGGCGTTCTTTGCCGTAAGAGCATTGAGAGGTTTGCAAAGCTGACTGAACTCTTTGATAAAACGGCGGTAGAAATTGCAAAATCCGAGGAAGGACTGGACGCCTCGGACATTCTTATTATATTTTTAATCGGTGATAACTGCAATTTTGTCCGGATCAACTTCAATATCATTAGTATTAATAATAAACTTAAGGAATTTGGTCTTGTAAACGCTGAACTCGCATTTCTTGATGTCAGCTTGAAGGCCATGGTCGTTAAGAATGCGCATGATCTTCTTGACATGCTCCGTGTGCTCTAGCTCGTTTGTTGAGTAAATAAGGATGTCATTTAAGTAAGCGGAGCAGAAGTCATCTAAGTGTTCTATTAATATTTCATTAATGAAACGCTGGAATGTAGCAGGCCTATTAGTAAGGCCGAAAGGCAGTACTTTGTATTTGTAAGTACCGTAACGGGACCGGAAAGTGGTTAAATCCTCGGACTCTAAAGAGATTCGTATGCGATGAAAAGCTTGTTGAATATCGATCTTAGTGAATATCTTAGCTTGAGAGATTCGGGCCATCATCTCATCAATAAGGGGAAGGGGATAAGGGTCCTTTTGAGTGATGGAATTCAAACGTCGGTAATCGACACACAGCTTTATAGATCCATCCTTCTTTTTAGTAAACAAGATGGGAGCTGAGTAAGGTGCATTAGACGGCTCGATGAATCTTTTGTGAAGGTGGTCTTGGATGTATTGCTTGACTTTAGAAAGCTGGTCGTCGGTAAGGCGGCGCAAAGGCTTTGTAATAAGAGTGTTTTCAGTAGCCAATACAATTTTATGGTCGACTTTAGGCCGTCGAACTGTAAGCATATCCGAAGCTTTCTTCGAGAAAAGATCTTTGAATTCAGTGTATTCAAGAGGCAATTCTTGGTTCACTTTTGCGTTATTGGCAGCATACTTCTCTCTTAGCGCGTGTGCCGAGTCCGCATTATTTATTGAAGCAATTTGAATGGTTTGCTTATCTTCGGCATCGATACGACGGCGATCTTGTTCTCGCTGGAAGTCGTTCATCGATGCTGAGAAAACGAATTCGTCAGGGGGATGTCCGCTAGCTTGCGTAGCAGCTTTGTAATTCTTTCGGAAGCGGTTTAAGGTGGCTCGCATCGGTGATGCACCAATAAAGGAGATGTTCACCGTATGTTGCTGCTGATAAAGGTTGGAACATGGTTCATCTTTGCTTTGAGGGAGACTATGATCAACTTCTTTAGTCAAACAACGCAAGTGCTTTTCTATTGTAGATAGACGCTTCTGGAGGTCTCTCACGAAGCTCGAGCTGCGGCGGTCGTGAGGTATTGATGCCGAAGACGATGCAGCGGGCTTGAGAATGCTGATTTGAGGGGCAGCATCTTGGTCATCTAAGAGCTGGTCTCGGCGAGCAGCGTCAGCTTGATGATTCAGCCGAGAAGCTGGATGAGAAAGGTCTAAGAAAATTCGGGTGCTAAAGTAAGGTATGACAGGCATGTCCGCGGGCCAATAGAGCTGAGGTTTGGCGCCAAATCGCTGACCGATATCGTAGTGAGCTAAGAATTTGCGGCTAATCAAAACGTCGGTAGAACCTAAGTTCGTGACTAAGAAAGGGAAATTAATGCGACGCCGGTCTATAGTAAGGGTGAGAAGTATAGCGTGAGTAATTGGATCACCTAGAGTGCTATTGTACTTAGTAGGGACGATTGGGTGAGGTAAAGTAATAAACTTATTACCGAATCGAAGAGAGAGTTGAGAAGCTAGAGAGGTCTTAATCGCGCTAAAAATGTTTGCTCCGCCGTCAATATGTGCAGTAGTCTTGATATAAAATCCATTGCGTGCTAGTTCTATAGGAACTAAGAACTGAGGTCTTTTAATAAGAGACCGGAAATCAAATCGCAATTCCTTCCACAAATCGTGGCCAACGCCGTAGTGGGAGTCTTTTCCACGGCTTAGAAGTTTCTCGAAAAGGGGTCGTCCGCTAGCTCTTGACCAATAACCATCTTTGCGATCTTCTTATCGAGCTTGAGGTCAGGGCATTCACGTTGAATATGGCCAGGCTTCTTGCAACTATAGCAAGTAACATTAGAAGGACTGGCAGAACGAGACCCAAGAGGGGAAGGAGCAGGAGATGTAGCACGGGGAGCTGGGGAGAGAGGGGTGGGGCGCCAACTCTCTTTTTTCAGGATACTTCGCGTGCCCGAAGTTCCTGCACTTGCAGTGAACGAGACGTTGGCAGAAGAAGAAGCGTAAGATGCATAGCGGCGTGCAATAGCAGCTTCTTCTGACTTAATGTTGCGAGACTCGCGGTTTATAATAGCAAGGTACTCATCTAATTGCTCGTAGTTTCCATGCATCTTGTACTTCTCGACTATTAGGTGAGTCTTAAGAGCTGGAGAAACCTTTTCACACAAGTCCTCGAACTATCGGCTGCGAGAAATCTTGCTAGTAATTGCGAAAGCAGTGAACTTGGTTCGGAAATCGTTATAAGATATGCTCCCACTCATTGTAAGCTGGTAATAGTTCTTGCGAGCTGATTGAACACGGTTGTGGTCAAAGAAACGATGGTCTAGGATTCGCAAAACATCCGCGGAACCTTTGCAAGTATCGGCAAAGTCGGGGGACATGTGCTTTAAAATCATCGTCTTAGCTTCTCTCGAAGTGCACTTGAAATAAGCCTTTACTTGAGAAGGGCTAGTAAGGAAGTTGCTAGAGTACTCTTCAAGGAAAAGCTTTATGTCTATCTTCTATGCGTCGTAGTCGACGTCGCCTCGGTGGTCGCTAAACTGGGAGCGGGGCCACTTGACCTTATTGCTCTCGACTGGGAGTATAGAAGGATCTAGGATAAGGAGGTAGTACTCGGGGACTGGTTGCAAGTCTGCTGTTAAGGCGGCAGGTTTAGTAGCATGCTGGACCGCAGGTTGGGTGACTGAAGGGGCTTGCTTGAAAGCGCGTTCCTTTCGCAAGGCCTGTGCAACTGCAGTTATGATAGCGTTGGTCATGACTTCCTGCTGGGCCGCCGTAAAGACGGGGGTAGGTGTAGACATAGCGACGGAAGAGCCGCGAATAGGAACTGGTTCGAGTACTGAACTGTCCGGGAATTGCTTATTGATTGTGAGAGGTCGTGTCGCAGGGGGGGTGATTGGGCTAATAGGAGGTCGGGGGAGGACGTGTCGTTGGCGCTCAGTAATAAAAACAGTAGCTTGGGGATCTAGTTGAGGTGCAGGTGAGAGTGCGTCGTTGGATGAGGAAGGTGCGTTATCACTATCGGTATCTTCTAGCATTGCAATCTTTACTTAAGCATCTAAAGCGCGTATGAATTTGCTACTTCTACCTTCAGTCCATTCGATATTAAAATCAAGGGAAGGGTCGGTGATCTCGGACAAGGGCTAAAGGGAAGAGTAACTCTCGATGTGCTCTGCAACGTGCTCTAGCGTTCTTGGGAGTGCTAGGACGCGTGTAGCGATTGGGTGTCCCGTAGAGATGAACGCGTGGAGCTTACGCGCGGTGACTAAGAAGTCAGTAGATCGCGGCATAAGTAGAAAGAAAGCATTCAGGTTCAGGAAGGTTCTTTGAGGCAGGCGTGATCTCTGCAGCCTTAGTCTTTCAATCTAGTTTGTATGGGGCACGACACAACGGGAGGGCTAGCTATCAATTGAGCAAGTAGAAGGAGGGACCCAAAGCTGAATAGTGACCACTAGCAAGAAGGGGGAAGATCAGTACAAGCGAAGCGTGCACGTTCTTTAAGCCTTCGAGTAAGGTTTGTATAGGGGTATCAGACACTGTTCTAATGAGGAAGCTTCGGAATCCTTCTTGTGTGTGTCGCAATTGATAGGGAGCTCGCGGGAGCCTTGTGTATGGGGGGGAATCGATTTTTTCGAGGAGGAGGAGGGTCGAATTGCAGCGGTGGCAGTTCGAGAGGGGTCCAGCTTTCTCTGGGACTGTAAAATCAGCGGTGATGTCTGATCAAGGTGCTCGAACTTGGGTGAGGGGAGTAAGAGCCAGTGTAACCTGAGGGGAACTCCGAGTTGCAGCAAGGGCAGTTCGAAGTTTTGTATCAGAAAACGAGGGTCGATATAATGCTTCGCAGCGGAGGGTGGTGGTCGGTCTTTCTTTATGCTACGGCTGGAAAGAGATGGTATTGTAGTACTATCTAATCGTACGCTTCGTATCGAGAAAGAAAGACGAAGAGGAGAAGTGCTAGAATACAGGAGGGCGGAGAGGTCTTGTACCTGGGGCGGCCGCTAGTGTGGGCCTAGTCCTGGATAGGACTAGGGCAGCGGGCCGCTGACTAATCGATCCCTTGACCACGCCAAAGGCCTGCCAGGACCGTAACACATATCTATCGTATTCGAGTGAGAAGGTGAGTGCTAAGAAGGTGAATGGGTAAAAAGATTCGAAATGCTTAATAAAGAGGTCGAAAAATTGACTTGGCGCAAGGAGAGAGGTTCGCGCTAAGGTAAAGGTGAAGGCGTATTTGATTGATTAGTATTGCGTGATAGACGCAAGTTGTTTCCTGACAAAATAAGCTCGAAAATCGAAGACTATACTCAGTTTAATAATAAGCTTATACCTAAAGAAAGAGAGCGAAAGCTATGCTCAGATTGCTTTTATTCTCGAGGGTCAATTGCGCGCGTGCTAGCGAAAAAACCTTTTGAATATTTAAAAAGGCGAAGGCTATACTTAGATTGCCGTTTGTCGATATTCGTTAGCATCTTTCTGCAAAACGAAGACTATACTCAGTTTGTTTGCAGATCGATTTCTTTTATAAAGACCTTATTGTTTTACGATCAATTATAAGGTTGACTATTAATCAATATCAATATCATAAGTACAGAATGAGAAGTACGAATATATAATGGTACCAATTGTATTCGTGAAGTCTAAAGAGGCAGCTATTTTAGCTGAGGGAGAGCTATATGCTGGTGCCAAGGCCTGGTGCCAAGGCCTGCTACCTAGTGTAACTACGTGACCTTGGATGCTTAGCCCTATATTCCTACAGGATGGATCTTATCTTACCTAGTACACCCACCTCCGGACGACGACCTCCTAAATTCTCACCCCTCACTGAGTTTTGCACTTGTTCTCCTTCTTCTCCTTCTTCTCCTTCTTCTCCTTCTTCTCCTTCTTCTCCTTCTTCTCCTTCTTCTCCTTCTTCTCCTTCTCCTCCTTCTTCCCCTTCTTCCCCTTCTTCCCCTTCTTCCCCTTCTTCCCCTTCTTCCCCTTCTTCCACTTCTTCCTCTTCCTCTCCTTCCTCTTCCTATTCTGCCCCTCCCAAACAAGCTGCATGCAATCAGGACAGTAGCCAACCTCACTCTTACTGGCGCGCGGCAGCTCCTGAAAGCGCAGACAGTCCTCCACCCTGTCCCACTTCTCAATCCACCGAGGCCGCAACTGGTTATCGCGACACGACTCGCACACGCTCACCAGAATACCAGCTGGGTGCCCGCACTTATGGATGTCTTTCGACACGAGACACATGGTGAGTAAAAGCCAGAGAGTCTCGAGATGAAGACAGATTCTGGTAAGCGAGTGGGTGAGTGAGTGAGTGAGTAAGTGGACTTACCGTCGCCAAACCTAGCAAGCCGGCTGCAGACAGTGTACGGATCACGGATCTGGCCGTGGATGTGGATGTGGATGGATACCAAGGGCGAGAAGGAGGTGACGAGTCGGTTCGGTCACGGCGGCATCAATCGACTCGAGTCTTGGAAGGGAGCATCCCCTCCAGCGCGAGCTACGTACGGGGAGAGGAGAACCTGTTCTGGCCACCTTGAGACGCTGTTCGGCTTCTGCTCACAGGGAACTGAAATCTCGGAAACAACATGTTCACGAGTGGCGTGCGGATTGGATCTCGCTCCCGCCTTGTGGTTCTCTTCCGGGAGCTCTGCGTTTCTTTTCTCGGTGCGACACGGCCCCTTTGTGTGTACGAGAGCACAATGTCCTTGTCCTCCTCTCTGTTGACAGAGTCTTGCCTCAAGATGCAGCATCCTGCGCTCTGATTACTGCTGGTTCTTCGTGCACACGATAAGCCCTGTTTGCCTTCGGTCCGGAATTCGCGGCTGCTTCACGCTAATCTCCTATATCGCGAGCCCCTTTTCTTTCACACAACGGTTCCAGGAGATTGCGCTTCTGATGTCTCTTGAAGTACGGCCCAAAGTTATGTATATACATGGGTCTGAATATTTCTAGGCCGATATATCCATTCACCAGCAGATTCGGTCTTCCTGAGAACCATCAATAGTAATCACCAAAGCAATAATCATCGTCGCCATCGTCTTGGCTGCCACCTACCAGGGCCCCTCGCTTATCCTATTAGCCGAGCTCGCTTATTGCTTACCAACAGCCGAATGTCAACAACCAGAAATGATAGGAGAGAGGGGTACAGAGGGGAAAGGGCGGCGAATCCCACGTCAATAGCAAGAAAAAAAAAAAAAAAAAAAAACTTCATTCTCACCTCACCCGTATACAGTAAAAAGAAGAACGACGTCATTTAGAAGGTCTCGCCGTTGATTGCCCGCGTCTTGTTCTAACCCGACCACGAGACTCCACGCGCCAACTATCTGTTGGCCTGGCCTGCTCAGCTCGCGCGCAGCACTGTTCTACCTCCCAGTACGGCTTCGGTGTCGTCTTTACGATAGATCGGCCTTCTTCACCCCGACCCCTCCCAATCTTGGGAATTTCGCATTTGCATGTTCCGGGGGCAGGTACCTAAGCTTATCCACGGAAGCACCTCCTTTTTTTTTGTCTTCTTCTCGCTTGCCCGGGTCTCGATTTCTGGGCGAGAAAACGCCTGCGAACCCTGGATACATCGTGAGAGAGGGTGCAGGGGATAGGCGGAGATGCAGGAACGGGGTCTGCCATCGCGAGCGGGGCGTAGAAAATCCCGCTCAGGTTTCTGGTTGGGAACTTCTCAGGTTTCGTATTAGCATGGCTTTCTGCTTCCTGCCTTACTCCGTCGCCCTGGACACAAGTAGACATACCAGCATCATATTTGCAGATTTCCGTCGCGAGTAGTCGAAACTGCAGGCCCCTTCAATCTGGAGGAGCAAGAAGATGATATTCTCGATTGAGGACGGTATGTAGGCAGACGTGCTGCTACTATGCCCTATATCGTATGTCAGTCGGACGGGGATGGGAGAGCTAGCTGCGTGTTCCGCGTTGGTTAAAGACAATACAGGTCTAGATGACGCATAGAAGGTTGCATGCATACTCTGGCTTTCAAAAGACCAAGACACGCGAGATGAAAATCAAGATGCAGGCGGTCTGTACTCTGTAGTTCTAGTCCTCGGGCGGCGTAGGCTATTGTCTCCAGCAGCGCGAGAAAACCCGGAGTCAACACCCTCTCGATTCTCGCATTCCAGCGGTGGGGTCGGGACTGCAAAAAGGCAAGAATGAGCTCGTCGAGAGGAGGGGGAGAGGTGCGGGGATTTATAGATAGATAGATGGATATACATGCGTGCAAAATATACCTTACAACCGCTAAAAGATAATGAGTAGAACACTGGCGTGAAAGAGTAACGATCACAGCAAAAGAATATGCCAACGTGATTTACCCAAAGAAATGGCTAGCAGCTCCATGACGAACAGCGAGGGTCCGTAGGAGCATAGAATATATGTATATATATAATTTGAAAGCAAGCAAGCAAGAAAGAAACAGGAAACTGGAATTTTTTTTAAAAAAAATGAGGGAAAAGGTAGAACTTCGTTGGTCATGTCGTCATGATCGTGTAGGTCGCATGCGCGTAGCTGCGAGAAGAACAAGTGTTCAGATCCTTTTTTTTCTTTTGATATCTTTTGCGGCCCGGAGGGCGATATTAGAGACTCACTCACTCACTCACTCACTCGGCAGGTGAGGCGGCGTGACCGGGTGTGTGGTGAGATGTTGGACTGTGTATGCCGCCCTGGCATGGGTCTCCATTCGATGGATGGTGGAGATGCAGGAGAAAGTATGGGTGACATGCTGTAATGTCTAGACGGTATGCCAAACTGCTGGTTACCTATGCAAGATTTTTTCAACTCCGCTATTCTATGCCTTCTTTCTTCCTTTCTTTCTTCCACTATACTGTACTGACCCCAGCCCTACTCCATCTACATCGATGCCCAATCCTTTCATATCTCTTCTCTAAGTGTTGTATCCGTATCGTACGTTGCCTTACACCTTTCTCCAGTCCGTCATGCACCGTCCGACGCACCCCAGTCCCGCAACCTCCACCACCTTCTCGTGCCACGAAAGCAGCACGCTCATGGCCGAGCCACTGCTCTCGCTCTGTGCTCCCGATCTCCCACCCATCTGCGAGAAGCCAGCTCCGGTCGATTGGGGCGTGAGATTCGAGCCGCGAGAAGTGGTCTTGGTGGAGCCAGCGCCGGAAGCGGCCATGCCTTTGTACCTATTCAAATACAGAGAGATAGATTAGCTTCTTCCCATCCACACACATAGCCGTAGCCGCAGCCGTAACGCAGGGAATCTCTCCAAAATACGCAATCAATCCATACACATGCCCACATACGCGGCAGCGTCCGTCCCACTGCCACCCGTAAACTAGAAGAGGGGAGAGAGAGAGACACCTAGGAAGGGGCTTTTAGAGGAGAGGAAGAAGAGGAGGGTGAACGAACAGATACTTCATCAGCACATCCAGCACCTCGCCGCCGCCCTCGCTCCCAAAGATGCGCTGCAGCATCGGTGTCATCTCGCTCGCCCGCACGCCCTGCAACACCTCGGTGACGGTCTTCAGATGCTCCTCCTTGACCGCCGCGTCGCCTCCGTACGGTGCGCTCTCCAGCGCTCCCCGCAGGGCCCCCTCGGCGTCGCCACCCCGGAGCAGCTGGCGCACCTGCTGGCCGATGGCGCGGATCTCGGACTCGGAGACCGGGGCCAGGGCCGGGTGGAGGGTCGAGACGTCGAAGTTCTGAGAGGATTCGGGATCGAGTGCGTCGATGTTGATGGTGCGCCAGTTGTCCGTGAGGGAGGCGCTGGTGACCTGTTGGATGATGGACATGGTGATGGAGGGGTCGTCGGTTCAGAGGCAGGAGGAGTTGGTCTCTCGTGTCGCCTGGTTCTTTTCGCCGGTGATCTCGATTGAGGGAGGGTCCGATGGGAGTCCTTCGAGATGTGAAGGTATATCCGGTTGTGGACTTCGTTCTTGTGGGTGTGGATGTACGGCGTTGTCTGCTTCAGGGTTTGGATATTGAATGTTAACGATAGCTTCATTCTCGTTTATTCCTCCCCGCCTTCCCCGCGTCCCCGTCTTCCGCTCTACTTACTTCCGCTCCGCTCCACTCCACTCCCAAGTTTCTCCGCTCCATTAGTCACTCACTTTAGGCACTGGAGCGGGATCGTTGCTATCAACGTACCAGCACCACCGCCCTCAATATCACCACTATCACGACTATCCTGACTGTCACATGTATATCCACGATATACCCGATCTATTTTCCTGTGGTCTTGTCTATTTCATCTGCGAGCTTATGATGATCGAATCTACATTTCTCCCGAACGGTTCGATTGGTCGCAGCCCGCCTGCGTCGCCCGTTGACACTGATTATACTACGTACCTGCTTCCCTACTTGCCCACCGGATGGATTCGAATGTGGTCGTACGGTATAACCCGGCCGTATAGCCAGCCAGTCGGAATCCGGGAAGCATGATCGAGGCCGATGGATCATCGTACTCGCACAAGATCTGTGTACGTACGGATGTAGGTACCTAGCATAGGTATTCGTGCGACAGCGACATTTAAACGAGGACTGTGAAACTGTGACACAGGCGAGAGATAAAGATAGATAGCCAAGAGAAGCTTCTTCCTTCCCTTCCTTCCTTCCTTCCTTCCTTCCTCCTCTTCTTCGGCAACTAGCCGCAATGAACAGATGGGCGGATACCGGTAGATAGGTAAAGTTCTGGACATAGATTGGTGTAGCTGAGATACCCCCGACCGCGGCTTCTTTCCCTTTTTTTTTTTCCCCTTCTTCCATTCTTTTCTCTTCCGCTAGCTAATTACACCAATAGATAGACCCAGGGATTGAAACCAGGCAGCTCACTCTCGAGTCTCAGCTCTGTGCTTTAGTACTCGTGGAGTAGGAGCAATAGCAATGGCGATGGCAATGGCGATGCTTGATAGTAGCCACGCTTGAATCAACCTATCAACCCCATCTACTTATGGAACATCGGTCTCAGAATACCCTCCTCCAAGACTCCCTCTTCCTCTCCTTTCATTTCCTCTTTTCCTCCCCGGAGAGACGATCAGCAGACCGTTTTCTGCGCCTACGGACCCTTTCCGGTCGCTGGTCAAATAGATGTCGGGAGTTGATTAAGTAGGAATTGATTGAGTATCGGTAGAATGTGCGCCGCTTACAACTGCATTGCAATCAAGGTTTACCCGTATCAGAAAAGCACTCTCCGTAAGTACTACGTAAAATGGTAAGGGAGAAAGGCTACTGGTAGTCTACCGTAGGAGTAGTAGGAGTAGTCATAGTACCGGTAGTATCGATTTGCGTCGGACGGGTAGCGGGCGAAGCCTGCCGCCCTGAGACCTTCCACGGCTAAGCTAAGGAGTTACATACCAGTACCTACAAGACAGCCCTAGAAGATTTCAAGGTGGAGTAGGTAGCAAGGCTAAGGCTGGCATCAACTGCGCCCTTCCCCTACGGGTGGGATGGATCACAGAAAGAGAAGACTCTAGCAGGGTTCAAAGACCGAAAAGTCTTCCGTAGGATGGATAAACGATCGGACTGGGATAAAGGACCTTTTACAGTACAGTAAGGATAGGGATCAGGGGAGGGGGGACGAACCGGCTACTCGGATCACTGGAATTCAATTAAAGTGTTTGTTTTACGGAGTTTCTTTTTATACTTTGAATTTTTTGACGGTTGACTTTTGCCTGTTGACTTTTTGCCTGTTGAGTTTTGACTGTTGAGTTTTGAATGTGGAGTTTTGACTGTTGAGTTTTGACGTGAGTTTTGACTGTTGACTTTTGACTGTTGACTTTTTGACTGATGAGTTTTGAGTGGTGACTTTTGGTTGTTAGTAGTACTACGTAGTAGTAGTACTACTAGCTTTCAACTTTGAACTTTACTATCTCGAAAGAAAAAAATGGGAAAAATTATATATATTAGGGAGGGATTAAGTGAATAGGAAGATAGTATGTATGTAGTATGTATCGGGGTATCGGGTCCATCGCTCGTTTTGGATACACATTTCAATAAATAAAAAATAAAATAAAAAAGTCAGAGTATCTATGTTTGAGACTGCAAGATAGATACGTTGTGACACAACTAGAGAAATACTACTAGGTACCTAGGTAGGTGCTTAGCCTGGCCAGCCCGTCTAACAGCGATGCTCTGAGTATCCTATCGAGTATACAGTCCGAACTCGGGGTCAAAAGGAAATACTACGTACTACGTAACTCCCTCATCGAAACCAGGCCCTGACTATTACATATACACTTCCTTCTCCCCTCCCATTTCCCTTCCCTCTCCCCCAAACCCAAAGCGCAATGACCAAATCCCTGCCTTCCCTGCTTACCACTACGCTTACCCTCCTTATCTGTATCAGAGAGAAAGAATACTACTACGTACCAAAAAATATAAATTAAACCCCGCGGAACTGGCCAGCGTACTACGTACATACGGAGTCCCGATCCGGTTGGGCATAGAGTTTCCTCCTCTTCTTTCTTGAAAATACTACTCCTAAAAAGTACGTTATAAGAATAATCCAGTGGGTACGTAGTCCTTGCTTTTACCCACGGTCCAGGCCTAAGTATTACCCCTCGAGGGGGCCTCAAAAGTTTAGCTTCCACTTCCACCCCCCCGGTTTACCCTACCCGCGAGGGCTAATACTTACGCCTGGGACGTCGTAGTACGTAGTACGTAGTATTTTACTCGAGACCTCCTCCGTCGGTATGAGGATTACCCTTTCCTCTGTCCATATCCTTCAATCTCCCCCACCCTCGCCCTCCCCCCCACCATCCCATCTCGGTAAGAGGGTACGGGTACATGACAATAAAATTACGATAAAACAAAATAGATGAAGTCATAGATGAAATCCAAAATCCAAAATCAAAATCAAAATCAAAATCAAAATCAAAATCAGAAGCAAAATCAAAATCAGAAGCAAAATCAAAATCAAAATCAAAATCAGAAGCAAAATCAAAATCAGAAGCAAAATCAAAATCAAAATCAAAATCAGAAGCAAAATCAAAATCAAAATCAAAATCAAAATCAAAATCAAAACCAGAAGCAAAATCAGAAGCAAAATCAGAAGCAAAATCAAAATCAAACCACCTAATACTCAGCGCTCTGACTATCACATCAGTTATACTCCACGTAAACACGGCATTTTCGTGTCGCGCATTGTACGGTACAAGTGAGAGTGAGAGTGAGAGTGAGAGTGAGAGTCACCCACTCATCCACCCACCTACCTACCTACCGGTACCTAGCCATTCGTTCGTTCATTCATTCATTCATTCATTCATTCATTCACCCCACCTATCTGTCTATCCATCTACACACCATCTACCCATCCATCTAGGTACTTACCCATCCACTCATCCATCCACCCACCCATCCACCCACCCATCTACACCCACCCATCCATCCACCCATCTACACCCACTCATCCACCCATCCCCTATCCCCCTCCCCCCTCCTCCCTCCTCCTTCCCATCTCCCATCTGCATATCCACATCCATCCCCCATCTCCTCCACATTCATATCCTTAAAACCCAAGCCCTCACAGCTCAGTCCCAGCAAAGCGGTAATGTCTCCACTGTTCGCTGGCTCTGGCTTGAGATACTACTACGTACGTACTACGTAGGTCTAGTTTGGGGTAGGTCTGGTCTAGTCTGATCGGGTCTGGTCTAAATTTGTCTGGTCTGGTCTGATCTGATCGAGTCTGATCGGGTCTGGTCTAAATTTGTCTGATCTGGTGTAGTCTGATCTGATCTAGTCTGATCGAGTCTGGTCTAGTTTGGTTTGGTCTGGTCTGATCTGTCTAGTCAGCTCTAAATTTGTCTAGATTAGTCAGCTCTAAGCTAGTGTAGCAGAGCAGAGCAGAACAGAACAGAGCACCAAATACTCTCTTCCTTTCCTCCTCCCCTCCTCTCCTCCTCCCCTCCTCTCCTCCATGCAACTATAAAAATCCCCTCTCTCTTTTTTCATCTTTTTTTTCCTTTCCTTTCATTTCATTTCCTCTCTTCACGCTCATCTTCATCTTTATCTTCATCTTCATCATCATCATCATCCATCCCCTCCCTCCCTCCCCCAAAAAGTCACGAGTTGCACTTCATCTCACTTCATCCCATCCCATCCCATCCCATCCCATCTCATCTCATCTCTTTTCCCCACCCAACCCAACCCAACCCCCTTGCCCCTCCCCCCCCTCCCGCGGGGTGGATCCGCGGATCCCCAAGCCGGCGCCGAAACGACGGGTTTCTGATTCTGATTCCGCAGTGTGATACCTACTACCTACTCCTACCTACCTAGCTGTACCTACTAGCTGTACCTAGCTGTACCTACCACCTACTCAAATTTTACGATAGAGTTCAGGGGGACCGGATTAGGAATAGCGGCGGGCCCGGGGACGGGGGCAGTACTACGAAAAAGAGGGAAGTTGTTGGTTGGATCGGAGAGTTTTGGGAGGGGAGGGGAGGGGAGAAAAAAGAAAAAGAAAAAGAAAAAGAAAATGGAAAAAGGGGACTAGGAAGTTCAGGGCGAGTACTACGTAGGTACAGTACAGTATACATAACTACTACGTACTAGTAGGTGCCTAGGGAGCGTTGCATGTGCATGCATATCCGTACCGTACCGTACCGTACCGGACTCCGTATGCAATGCGTGCATGCGCTACTGTAGGGAGGGAGAAGAAGTTTCGGGGGGTTCTAGAAGTAGGTACTATATATATATATATATATATATATATATATATATATT